CCCTCGAAGAAAATCGCCCTCAACATCTCAGAACTCAAGTTCTCAGAGGCAAGTTGCAGTTGGCCTTGGCGACCACCCGAGCCCAGACCGTGAGACTTGGTCAGCTCCGCCACCTCACCAGAGCCCAGCTGGGAGACGGCCTGCGCGGGTGCTGAGGTGGGTTGAGGGCTGAGTTTCGAAAGGATTTATTTAGATGTTTGAAAGGCGGTCAAGTTTATGTCCTCTGGCTGCAGGAACTTTGGGGGGGACTCTTGGGGCGCTCAGGACTCTGCCTAGATTTGCTTCGATCTCCTTATAGCTTAGGATGTTGGCACTTTGGCTCCCCCAATCTCAGGCCCATGTGTAAATCATGCCTCCAGGAGCCGGCCCAAGCCACGCTCGAAGTGGCTCTTGCAGATAGCCATGGGGATCCAGTAGCTGATCGTCTGCTTCCAGACTCCTTTGCTGACCTGAACTTTCGGATCTCATAACTTCAGGTCTTTGCCTGTTCTGACATCCCTTGACAAATCTCAAACAGCAAGGAGGCGACACCGAGGCCGACACAGCTCAAACTTTAAGCAACGTCCCTGCCTGCAGGTTGAAGAACGCCTCCTCTGAGAGGGGATCGAAGTCGCAGGTCAGGTGGCGCTTGCCGCCACTCTCTTCGGTGATCGCGACTCCCAGGCCCAGCGTGGTCTCCGCTTCGTCGAAGGATGCCTTGGCGCATTAGTGAAAGACAGTTAAATTACCCCACAGAATCCTACAGTAGAGAGTCAGTTCTGGGTCGATCTTCCTGATTCTTCTTAGAACTCTGGTAGCCTTGGTGTGGAAGCAGCGCAGCTGAGTTCGGTCGAAGTAAACGGAGACTGCTTCCTCTGCTGGTCCTCTCCAGGCCCTGCAACTCCGAGCCAGCGACCTCAAGGCCTCCAAAGGCAGAAGCTCCAGGAGCGTCTCCGCTGCGGGGCCTGGAAGGTTCTCATACAGATGGGGTTGCAGCAGGGGCAGCCGGTGGATCTGGCAGCCTGCATGGGGGCGGAAGAAAGGGCCACCTCTTGCCGTGAGCCGCAAGCCCTTTGGCGAGTCCACCTCTAAGATTCGGATCTGCACGATGCTCCTCTCTTGGAACTCTCCAACCTCCCTGTCCATCTCCGACACATGCACAAGGCCTGGGGCCTTTGCGCCTACGTCCACGAAGAGGCCGTAGCTTTTTATGGAAACGATCAACCCAGGAAATCGAGTTCTCGATTCCTGGAGCTCTTGCAGCTGCCGCCGGGACCGGCGGGGCACCAACTCCAACCAAAGCCACTTGGGTTCCACAGCTGTCACGACAGCCACGATCTCCTGGGCCCCCCCGTGAAACCCTTCCCTGCCACCCGTCCCTGCCCTCGTCCCTGCCTTCGGTTCCAAAATGTTCCAAAGTGCTAGGACTGCTAGGAGAGCTTGGGAGGGTTGAGGTCTTCTTTTGTGACAAACACTCCTCCTGCAGCGCCACGGCACAACGGCGGTCACGAGCCAGCCAGCCCTGGCGCTGCCAATGTTTGAAGGGCAGCTCCAGAACGAAGCCAGCGGCGAGTTCTCGCAACACAACACCTCGAACTACATCCCCGTTGCGTGGGCTGGGCTCTGAGTCCTTGCAGCCGGCCTCGGCACCTGCAGCCTGGGCACCCTGCTCGGAGCAGCGGGCCTCGAACCACTTGCCGTGATTTTTCTGAGATTCTTCGTCAGCTGCGTGGAGCTGATCACGACTCATGTCTTGTGCTTGTGCTTGCGCCAGCTCGCCATCGAGTGTGGACATCTTCTGGGAAGGGCTGGGCGGGGCACGGGGTTCAGCGCTGTTCTCCAGCGCTCTCGGGACCTCTGCCAGCTCAGGCCGCGGAGCCGCGAAGCAATGGCCGCATCCCTGGCACCGGAACTTCTCACACTCAGCCCGAACCTGCGCTGCCAGCTTCGGGGTCATGCAAGACTTATACGTGCCGCCGTGGTCCTGCGGCACATGATCCGTCTCAAAAAGAAAGGATGCCAACTGCAGCAACACCGTCTGCACCGTGTAGGCTGTGCTCCATCCACTACGTGCATCATGCGAGCCAATGAAGCTTTGCAGAATGTCCAGACAGATCATGCTCCCAAAAAGGTTTGGGTGGCGAAATGAGGGTATGTGCTCTGTCGGGAAACGGATGCTCGGGGGGCTGAAAGGATAGTTTCTGGGCAGGTCCATCACCAAATGGAAGATGCAACCCATCAGCGGGCCGTCTGCAGGTCGAAGGTTGACGTGCCAGCAGAAGGGATCATTGAGGTCCAAGGGTCTGGCAGAGACCAGCTGCAAAGGCTCCGTCTCCAGCTCCTTTGCAAAGGGCTCTTATCGAGAGAGTCTAGCCTTCGACGATGTTCTACAGCTTCCCTGTTTTATCCTATGACATGGGCAGGATATGGGGCTCTCCTTGAGATCTCTGGCGATGCGCAGCAAGGCGGCCGCCTGGCGCGACGCCTTCACAGTGCTAGCAGAGCTCATGGCGGCAGGATGCGGCAAGGGGGGGCTATTTTTTGTAGGCGCATGACTTGAGAGGAGGCGCGCGCGATGAAGCGGTTTCTGCAGTGGCAGCAGGAGGAGGAGGAGGAGGAGGGGGAAGAGGAGGAGGAGGAGGAGGAGGAGGAGGAGGAGGAGGAGGAGGAGGAGGAGGAGGAGGCGGCATTGATGCTTCCTGGGCGAACCGTCCGTACTCTACACTGCATGAATGCAAGGAGGCTCATTCTCGAAGCAGGACAGCTCGAAGTAGGGTCAGTACTTCCACTGACTTGCCACTGACTCCCAATATGTACATGAGCAATGCTTCCGCTGGCAAACAACCAACAGCAACAACTCTAAAGCATGCATGCTTATGTTCACATGCCTAGGTTGTTCGATTGTGTTCGTTTTGTGAAGCTGTGCTCATCTAGCTGCCATTTAGTGGCAAAACTTTCACCGCTCTTTGTACATTCTTTAAACTGGCCGGAGGCTGCGGCGCAAACCACCATTCAGGAGGATTCCAAGGTGCTACTTCTGCACAATCTTTCTCAGGTCCAACTGGGGCACCAGCACCGATGCCCGTTCACGCATTGGTGTCGATGAAGCTGGCGCATTGACTCTGGACGGAGCCGCGCGATACACTGGCGCATAAGTCTGAACAACGACAGGATGCTGCAAGCTGCTTTGAGCACTTCCTTTGGCAGCAGTCTGGGTAAGTCGCGGAGTGCTTGGGACAAAGCTATCCGCTGCCACAACAGCATGCGTTGGACTCGCTGGAGATGGCGGAGGTGCTGCAGGAATCACAGGCACCTGCTTCAGCGTGGGGCATCACTTCAATGGGCTTGTGGCTTGATCCATTATAGCCCGGTCTCTCGGCATTATCCGCTCCAGAATGCGAGAAATTATTCCATTCTGCCTGGCGTTGCCTAGGGGTCTGCTGGCTGGCAGCGGAAGACAATCGTGAGGCGCCTGCAATCAAACCGAGTAGCTTGTGGAAAAACACGCCACTGCACATGCAGCCGGCTTCATTTTCACTTCAGAGTCTTGAGAGGGCCCCGCACGAAGGCCAGCAGGCACGACACGGAGCAGGCAAGTGTTTGACGCGGGGCTGCGGTTTTCATCGCGCGGAAGGTTTGGTGGACGCGGCCAAGCGCTTGCTTGGTCGCAAAGGCTTGACAGGCATGGACTGCCTGGTAAAGCGCACTTACTTAAGTGTTGAAATTTGAATCAGAGGCCACAGAGGGGGGAGGAAATGGAGGAACAGCAATTTCAAAAATCCTCCGATTTGTCGGGCCACTGGTGGGGCCGCCCACCTCCCCCCTCCCCAGATGTCGGCTTATTTGTGAAACAGAAATCGGGTCTGCGAAATTTGTGAACCAAAACGGGGCTAGTGCACTTGTAATGAAATACGCGAAATTTCAATGCTTGGCGTGGGGCTTGCACAAGCAACGGGCCTGAGAGTGGCTGAACCAACGGCGCGCAAGCAACCTCATGTATTCTGGTGGTACAGAGGTCGGCAGTTCGAAGCGATTCCAGTTGCAAACGCATGCAAACTCTGTTCCAGAAGCTGAGGACAGTGCTGGAGGACCTCTCAAAACTTCGACCTCACCCCAGAGCATGAACGTAAAAGGGTTTCTGACATAGTTCCGAATGGGATGCCTGAGGCGGTTGCTGCAAGTGAGCCACGTGCATCAGCACTCCTGCAGCACAAAACGAGCACTTCGGCCGGCAAAAAACGCGTAAACGATTGCGATAAATGCGTATGAACCACTTATATCATTGATCTGAATATTCTGACATTCTGCTGAATATCAGCCTGCCAAACCTTGGATCAACGTCGGGGAAGTCGGCTTGTGCAAGCTTTCAAGCGTTGCAGCACAACTGCAAAATTTCAACGCTGTCATGTAGCTTTGCACATGGAAAATGTTCGCGGGGAGCGCTGCCTGGAAGGTGGAGCTGGATCTTCTCTTCCAAGGCCAGATCGAAACGCCTTGTAAATGGGTCAGGCGTCGCTTTTATGAACTATGCTGTGCACTTGCGATTGCTTCCTGCCACCACAAATGCAGACAACACGTGTTCAGCTTTTGACAGGCATTTGGCAAACACGGCGGTCGCAATGCGATGCATAAGGACTACAAAAATGAAGCAGGGCAGCAATTATCCACTTTGTGACCAGCAACCTACCTCTGGCCACGCAACGTTCTTGCCTCCAATAGTAGGCTTATGCACCTTCCTTGTTGCCAGTAAGTGTCATATCCCTGCCAGTCTGTTCTTGTGCTCCTTTGGTGGCTGTGGGCGCCCATATTTGGCTTCCTGTCGCTGATCGGCCTTCGTGACTCTTCTGGTTGGGATCCCTTCAAGGCTTGTGAAAAATGGAGCTCCCAAGGCCTACCTTCCCGCCCTCCCCTCCCCATCCGCCTCCTCCCCCTCCCCCTCTCATTCCTCTCCCTCCTTGAAGCACCAGCATACACAACTGCAACAGCCACAACAAACTCAGGCCAAAGGTGTCCTGACTCGGCTGGGCAGAGTTGCGCGCTGGCCTCAGTAACTGCGCGTGTGCACACCTCTGCATGCATAAATTCCTGTAGGGCGGTGTTCAACGTTCTTGTTTTCGGATTTGGACGCCAAGATTCAACTCCTAAAGTACAAAGTGGCAACTGTCATTGCTGCTATAAGCACAAAACCGATGGTTTCCAGGGTTTCGGCTCAGGTTTGCAACATTCATCCAGCTGAACCCCTACACAGTGAACTGTGCTTCGCGTGTTGTTGCAGCGCCGTGCCATGCAGGCGAAAGTATGCATTACGTCCAGCGTCGCGAAGTCGTTTCCTTTCAACAGGGCTCCGCATGCCTCGCAGGGGCACATTCTAGATGGACCAGGTATCACAAACCACATCCGAACTAGCACCTACCTGGCGCAACACTAGCGCGTGTCAAGCGCGCGCTGCCTATGGTTTTTTGCCAGCTAGGGAATTTTGCAACTGCTATTACACAGCCTTGCAACCTGCATGCCGCACCATTGGGGTTATGAATGGGCAGAGCAAAGTCCCCCAGGAGAGACATTGGACACCATAGAACCCCAGCCCTGAGAAGCCAAGCATGACACATGAATTGCACTCGTGACGCTGACAGTGGGGCAGGCTTGATGCCCGTCTGGTGCACATGATGCCGACGTTGAAGGCCGAAGGGCCCACGGTTGATGCTCAAGATGCGTGTTTGCGACTTGATGCACCATTCCAGGGCTGAAAGACTAGCGCCACGCTACCGCAACACTAGCGCCACCTTGGTTTAACTGGAGCCCTACCTGTGTCTGTGTGCCTTTGCGTCTCTGCATTTCCGCATCTCTGTATGTGTTTTGTTGTTATACTTCGTATTTGTATCCGTTTATACTCATACATATATATGTATATGGCAGCATGTGTATATATATATATATGTGTACTGAATCTACGTCATTTCACATCTGTGCGCTGCATACGACTCCATAAAAAACCTCAATGCTCAATACCAACCCCCTGCAGCATCTCAACATCAGCAAGCACTCCATTCAACTAGAAGCTTGTGTCCACTCTGGAAGTCCTTGTTTGCGAATACATTGTAACATTGTTGGACTCTGTATCTGCGCCGGGCTTCAGCATGTGACAAGATTCTACTGACATGCCTTGCATGGGCTTAGTGACTTGGTCTGTGCGCACTCCAGGATTCCAGGAGCGTGGCCGAGAACCCTCGCAGTCGCGCCGCTTCAGAGGCAGCCTGTGGGAGCCGAGTTCGATTCAGCGCAGCATAGTACGGCTCATTGTGGTCCGGAATCGCCTCAACCCACTGGCTGCCTGGTTGGGCGCGGCCTGTCCTGCCGGAGCTCTACTTCTACTCGACTGGGTATAGTATGGCATTCGCATCTCTGCCTGAAAGGTCCAAGCTGAAGCGCCGGGATGGGCTTGCCTGCAAGTTTTGAGCGTGGCGCACCACAAAACGCGAAACTAGCAAACTTGTCAAGCACAAGGCAACCACAGATACGATGGCAACTGCATGTCCGTCGGCCTCAATGACTCTGTAAGAGGAGCGGCTGGACAGAGGTGCCTGCAGGCAGGAGAAAGCACTCACGTGGCAAACCGTAGATTTTGGGAGGTTGCCAAGTTGCCCCCCTTTTGCACGTCAGCAGCAACCTCCATTGAGGAGTGCTACGCTTGGCAAAGGCGAGAAGAAATCACATGAAGCTGCTCACATTCTGAGCTTTCACAGCCGAAGGCTATGTGCTCGAGAAGTGTTCACCTACACTTCTTTGTCAGTGGTCATCGCCACGGCTATTGATTTACAAGGTCTCACAGCTTTGCTGGACGAAGTGCTTTGAAAGTAGATCTGCAGAACGACGATCAAGTTGAAGACAGCTCCTGTTGCGTGTGACACCAAGGACAGCACGTCCTTGCCCATGATCTGCAAAGTTGTCAGGAAGCGCGCCACGCTACCCAAGAACTGCAGGAAGAAAGTAATGGCCGAGAGTTGTCCAGTGTGACCGTTCTGCCAATTCAAGAAAATTTGCGGGATGCGTGAAATTGCAGTCATGAATGTAGGTGAGGTCCCCAAGATGACCAGAATGTATTTGTAGTCCTCCTTGTGGCCCTCGTTTAGAAGAAATATACTTGCAGCTATCCATGCCACCAAGGCAGCGAATCGTACCGGCAGAGAGATGCCATCCCGATACATCCAAATCAACAGAAGCACAGCAGTAGCCTGTACAGCTACAATCCCTTGTTCTCCCCAGCCTGAGATGGGGAATCCCTTAAGCAAGTTGTAATAGGAAAAGGAACTAGCAGCGATAGCATCCAATGCTGCAGATGTTTCAGACAAGCCCTCTGCACTCCGATTTTTCACCATCAAGTAGATTTGCGGAAGCTTCACAACACAAGCTCCCGTTATCACAGCATATCCCAACCACGCTGCTGCCACATCCGCGAAAGACATGGCTCGAAGGGCTTCAAGCACCTGTCGAAAGTGCCAAGTGCAAGGCTCATGCAGATGTGACGCCATTGATACCAAGAGTTGATGCGAAAGCTTTCACTGCGAAATGTCAATGTCTGCATTTTCCCAAGTCAATTGAGACTGCTTGGGCCCGGATACACATGACAGGACAAAGGTTCAGCAAATGAAGCATGGCAACTCCGCTGACATGAAGGATTTGTGCAGAGCGCGCCACGCTCCTCAACCATGGAGGGGACTGCAGGCTGCGTCTTGCTAAGAGCATCTGGATGGCCTTGAGAAGTCGTAGTCAGGGATCTCTGGATGGGGCGCAACTTCAATGGTATTGCGTGAAGGAAGCAACTTGGGAGCCGGGCGGCATGCAGCTTGCAAGGATGCCTGCGAGGACCCGAAAGGTGTTGTCATTCGTGCGCCGATTTGGCTTGTGTCACAGCTTGCGCGCATACCGCAACAGGGCTGACGCTACAGCATGAGTCGCTCGGAGCTGCCTGAGGTGTATCAGCCGTGACAGTTAGCAAGGATCCAGTGCCATGCTTCCACAGCGAAGACGCCGCAAAAGATGTCGTGGCTGTCGCATCTGACCTGCGCAATTTGCGTAGCTCAGGAGAACCTTCCAGGACGGGCCGGCCTCCGCTCTTTTCAAGCCCATCAGCGTATAAGTTTCAGTGCAAGTTTGCCCACCGAGCTGGTGCTGTGCTGAAAGTGATCTGAACCCAGTGAACCCGGCTACTTCTGTTCGACTCAGGTCGACTTACTCTATGCTTGTCACTTTGGCTCTTTGTCTTGCTCACCCTTTCTTCGCTTCCCTGCGCCCTCCCTGCGATCACGGCACTCACTTGGGATTACCGAAAGCATTGAAGCAAAACACACACACACAGAATCACTGGCATTATACCAACAGAACCATTTTAAACTCACGCGTCCAAGCGACAGTTACATGTAGTATCTGATTCACAGGCTCTTCATTACTGCCTTATCAGAAGCCTATGCGCTTCGCTCATTTCATGTCTTCAAGTCGATGATCGCGGGCGCCCTAAAAAATGGCAATACAAAACATAATAGTGAATCGTACTGGTAGCAATGAAAAGATACAGAAGGAGGCGCGTAATTTAATGGGCAGGTCAGCTTCCAAAAGTCTGCAGGTCTTCAGTTTCAGGCCGTACACTACGTAGTCACGCCTTCAGATTCCGCGCTCTTTGAGCCTCTAGTTTCGGTGAAGTGTCTGCTCTGACTTGCTTGGACAGGTGCCTCAAACGCTCCACGAGTCGAATGTCGAATGGCGAGCTGTTGAGCTGTGAGCGATGTGATCTTGTCCTTTAGACCCCCTTCGGCGACCAGAATGTGATCCGATGTTTTAAACCACGCTGTCCCTTAAATGTGTGCAGAACCCTCTTGGAAACCAGCCACGGGGGTCACCAACCCCTGACACATCTGCAGCTTACATTCTGCGCTGGTCTAGAGCTCGTGAGTACTAAGGCTCCAGCGCTCGATCCGAAGTTTGGCGCAAGATTGTCTCCGACATGGATCCAGCCAAGGCTTGCCTCAGAGTCCGCACACCCGAACATTTCCGAACATACCCTTAGTGATTCTCAGTGAGAGTCTGCTTGAAGCTGTCGATGAGAACAGAACAAACAGGGCGCCCAGCTGCGGCCTCTGCCCCATTTTCACCCCGAGCCGTGCGCGTTCAAGCAGAGTCGCACGCTCCTGGCCACAATGTACTGTCCGATGTCCGAGTTGGCCCCTACAAGCTCTGCGGGCTACCTCCAGGGCGCGTAACCCTCCATGCAAAGGTGAAGAATTCGGCAAACTCGCCTAGCGTTGAAGATCAGCAGTGGCTCAACGACAGGCAAAGTGCAGTTCCACATCAAGAAGCGAGAAGAGAATCGCAGCGGACGTCTTGCTGACCTACTGGGCACTGAGATCGGCAGGTGCCTGCAGGTCGACAGATGCCACACCGGCTATGTCCTCACGTCGCAGATAACAATCAAACCATCTTTGGGGGCCAGGATGTGTTGCTTGATGGGGGTATGCGGATCATGCATGGTGGATCTGATGGCCGACCATGTCAAGTGCGATCATCCAGCAGCAGCCAGATTATTCAGGTTGTCGTTGGTGTGTGGATTCTGCCTTGTGAAAACTGGAACGAGACACCGTGCCTTTAGAGCAAGATGCGGCTGACAAAGCTGACCTTGTAAAGACTCTGGGTTTGGAAAGCACTGCCCTCGCCAAAGGCCTCAACTGGCAAGAATTCAGAGGGGGTGATTCGGCGTGCCATGCTTGCTGTTCCAAAGCAGTCCTCGGAAATAGGTCCAGACATCGCTTGAATGGCTTCTTGAACTTCCTCAACCACACCCGGATGCAATAAAGGCAGCCATACAGTGGGCAAAATGGACACGGCTGCTGTAATACAGGCGCTCAAACTCATCCTAGCGAGCGACATGATGCGGCTCCTGCTCCCAAATATCAAGGTTGCTCGGGATGCCCTCATGCAGAATACTGCAGGGCAAAGCTCTTGAACAAGACAAGTGATGTCATGGCTCCTGCCTGTGCGGTTTGGTCCAGGGCATCGGAAACAACTCGATGTGCAGGCCTTGTGCCAGGCTAAGCAGCTTCATTGGCCATGTCAGTATTGGTCCAGGTCGAGAACTAACAGCAACTGAAAACATGCCAGGCAAACTCCGGGCTGCCAGGAGCGAAGCCTCGGAAAGGAGAAGTGCCAGCAGGTGAGCCGCATTTGGAATGCTGTCACGGCATAGCGCGGAGGTACACATGCCTCTCTCTGCTGTTCGCACGGAGGTTGATGAAGCACTGCTCTTCACCTTGTCACCGCTTGAAGTCAGACAGTGATCTCGAACGAACACGCACACACACATCATTCAGGCATCATCTCAAGTGTCAGAGGTGGGCCTTTCTCCAATGACCCCGGAAGCGATGAGTGACATAACTACGGCATAACAGCATAGGACTTGCAAGGGACACACACACTTCTGCTCGGGCTGTGTAGCCTACCGTGAGCATGTTACACCACCTACTGATAGCATCGATGGCGGCCATGCCATTGTGCCATATTGTGTCCCCCGGCCCGCTCCCCAATGCATCACCACATTCTGTCCGTGCCAAGAAAGCGTACTGTAGCAGATCTTCAACGCCCCCTGAATAAAGTCATGTTGTTCGGGCTATTCAGAACTCTCCGACTGCTTTGGTTCCAGAGCGGGGCCCTGTATAAAAGTTCAATTGTTCCCACGGCCCGAGATTTAAGCATTGAATAAGGTTTTTATTTGCTTTAAATCCCGGGCCTTTGACCCTTAAAGGCAAGCCTCATTTCCAAGACCCTGAGCCGAAACCAAGCATTCCACGAGCCAGCCTGACCACTGTTTCAGGAGCCTCTTTACGTCCTGGCCCTGGCTTGGGGGGCTCTTGATCTCGATGCCCTGGCCTCATAGCTTCAAGGCCAAAGCTTTGGAATCATAAGGCCATTACGTAATCTGCAGGGACCCTTGCCTCCGAATTTCGAGAGCCCGGGGCCCTCTTGTTTTCAAGACCGGGGCCCTTGAAATCTGATGGCGAGCAGCCTTGGATTGGAGGCCTCTTTGGCTTGAAGGGGGAGAGACCGTAATCTGCAATCCCTTTCCAAGGGGGTGGGGAGGGTCCTTCATGCCCTCAACCTATTCTCGTTACTCCGTTCTTCTCTATCCCCTTTCAACACCCATCCCGTTTGAAATCGCTTAAGATTCGGAGACCGTGTAAAGAGGGACAAATCAGCTTCGATTCTTCAGGGAGGGGGGGTGCACACTAAAGAGGGTGAAACATTGAGGGCCTTAAATGTGGCCAAAATGACTGATGACAGGCTGGTCAACCTGCTGCATAGCCTGGCGTGTCGGACGTGTCGACTATGGCAACCATGGCCACGGCTATGGCCGACTTGCCCTCTGAATCCTCTGAGGTCAAGACGAGCCTGTCTCCCCGCAGACGAGGTGGAGTCGAACTGACCTCGCTGTCCATCGGCAGGGAATCCCACAGAGTCGACATGCTCTTCTGGGACTGTTTGCAGATATTGCAGACAGGAAGTCGCGCGAGTGTCGCGGGCGGGTTGTGTTTCAGAGCCCGCTCGCCAAGCCCCGAACATCATTTTAATCTAAGACCTGCTTTACTCGCAACGTAGTACATGACAACAATGTGTTTTCGAATTTTGAACTGAGCTCCAGGCTCGCCTTTCACTGGCACTTGCACCACGCGGGGTGAATGCCCCCTGTGAGTCATCGCTTCGTGCCAACACAGCGCTATGAGACAAAGCAACATTCCATGCCTGAACTTTAGGGCTTTGCTATGCTTAGTTGTACCCGCGAGGCCTCTGCGGTCGAGTGTCCGGATGGTCGCGAAGAAAGCCCCTAGCGAGCATGCTTGGCACAACGACGTTCCATCACAAAAACAGATCAGCTCCAATATCTCCAAACAAGGCAATTCTGCAGCGACTTGTGACGAGTACAACGAAATGATGGTCTAGTCATAGTAAGGCTTCAGTGATCCCAGTACGTGGGACTCCACGGCCTCAACGGGTGCCCCTTTACCGCGATGCTGGCGGCCTTGCTGCATCCAGAGCTATGCAGAGGGAGACACCACCGAAGGGAAGCGAAGCGAGGTCAACACACCTTTGCTGCGAAACGCGCTGTGCTATGGGCTGTTGTGAACGTGCCGCTTCACGTCGCCACCGTTCGTGGGAAAAACGCTCTGGCACACCTGCGTCAGCCAAGACAGCATGCTACACAATTGTCAATTCTTCGTACCATTAAACCCTAAATGTCGTCCATTGAACGTTTCGCGGACCTAACTTGCTTCAGCTCCTTAAATCCACCGAGGCCTTGGGCCGTAGGCATCTGGGAAGCATAAAGCAGGTACTTGCAGCAGCCAACTTGCCACAGTGTGGATTCCGTGTGTCAAGCCGGCCACGCAATCACGGATATTGCTAGACTACACATGACTTCGCTAAACAACCATCCCACAGCCCTTGTGAGTCCTTGTGTACCTTTCTCGCGAAGGCTTATAGCTGCCTTCGCATGCTTTTCCACCACGGCTGGTCGGAAGGATCGGCCGCAGTGCAGACAAGGCTGCAGCTCGCTGGTTGACCTCTCACACTCTCTTACGTGCGATTCCGAACTTAAAGCCATAAAAAAAACTCACTCCTGCACCTTTGCCTCAAGGTTGACTGCCGCAAAGCTGACCGCCGCGGGGTGGTAACGGCAGTATCTTCAAGGGAGGGCGCCATGACAACACAAGAAAGCATGAACAGTTGTTCTCGCATGTCTGACGACATGTGGTCCTTGTGCGCTTCGCTCTGCAACACATTTGCCACGAGTTGGCCGCTGTTCGACCTGTGCAGGTTCTTCTGGGTCGACTTGACGTGATTGTCACCTACCAATGTTGACGTGCTCCGGATTCCCCTGAAGACATCAACGCAGAAGCTGCGGCACAATTCGAGCATTCTTTGCCGCATCTGCAGAAGACTTGCTGGTCGTGGAAGGCATGGAGGCGCCGAGCTACTTGTGAGCATATCCGATCAATAGCCCGAGTCCAGGCAGCAGTACTCGAAACACATCATGTTCAGCGGGTATGCATACGTTCATGGCCGTCAGCTTCCCAAATCCAGCCGTCCAAGGTCCTGCAACAAGTTCGTCAGGGGGTTCATGACAGGTCTTGCAAGATTTGCGGGCTGAGGCCTAGACGGCCGAATTTCATGGAATGTAAACTTTTGCAAACTTTCCTTGTTCGTTCACAGAAAAGGACAGCCATCGGTTTGCTACTCAGTAGTGACGCATGCCAATGGTCCTCGCACATTCAGTCTCTTGTTACAAAAGGCTGGGCACCTATGTAAAAACTTGAACTCACCGTGGAAACTTGACTTATGTCTTCTCGAGCATGATAGCTACGCAGTTGGCAGACTTCTTTCGATCGGTTTGAGTACTTGGATCACTGTTACAGGGCATACTGCGTAGGTCTGGCTTGCACACTTGCCTTGCGGTCCGAGCTCTCCCTTTTGCTGGAACGGAAACAATTCAATTTCCGAGCATGAAGTAGCTCCGATCTGCGTGCAGAGCATCCAAGATGGGACAAGGTGCAGGGAACATGTATTCTATGGTCTTCCATCTGCAGCACCAACCCAGCGACTGTCATGATAATCTGAAACAAAAATCACAAGGTTGCTGGCGGCGACTCCGACACTGCGACTTCAAGAGACGGGCATCCTCTTGGACGCAGCTGACGACATTTGGGCTTTGGCTGAGCTCACTCCCAGCTCAGTCAGTCCTCGCTCAGTCGTCCTCATCGTCGTCCTCATCGTCGTCGTCATCGTCGTCGTCATCGTCGTCGTCATCGTCGTCGTCATCGTCACCATCCTTGCATGGCAGAGATCATCACTGAATCTGGCATCCCAATTCTCTGCGTTGCCTCGGACGCCGTGGATGCCGGAACTGCTGTCACACCTTGCCTGAGCAAAAGCACATCTCACAACCCCCTGCTCTTTGACAGTAAGTAAATCTCTCTTGCTGGAGCTGATAACGGACGGGTACCATGGTAAAGAATGTCAATGTGTTGCCAGCTACTTTGCTGTGACTGGGCTTGTTGTGCAATCGAGCGCACGGATGTGTGCCTGGTGCATGGTTGGATCACATTCTCACATGCTAGCATTAACATGTTCTGCATGTGTGGCAAAAGAGTTTCTGCACTGCTGGAGCAAGACAGGACGAACGCTGGGGGAAAGACATGCCATCGCTAGAGTTGAACCTGCAAGGCAAGGAACAAAGGTGGTCCGCAAGATTTGGTTTGCTTTGTGGCAATCTTGCCCTGCTGGCCCGTTCAGAAACATGATGCAACCAACCGCGATCAGTGGACTCAGAACTTAGTCGCTGGCTTGTTGTCCGCAGCAGCGGTGTTGTTTGTTGCCGCACTGCTGCTGTCATCCTGTGCAGAGGCAGCCAGAGCCACGTGCGTGAGTGAGCTGCTTGCGATGGGCAGTGTGAAGAAGTGTGAAGACAATCAGACTCAACACGGCTAGACGAAAATAGCTTTCTAGGTGTGGGGCTGCAGCAGCCGGAGAACCAGGAACTGGCGGAACCCCTTCCCTGCAACGGCGACAAACTTGCTGAAGCAACCGTGGCAAGGTTGTCTCAAACGAGGAGCCGGCATTCCATCGCTAGAGTTGAACCTGCACAAAAGCTGAACAACGCCATGCAGCATCTTATGCAACCATCTGTGATCAATGCTTAGTGTGGCGCTTATTATCGGCGGCTGTGTCGTTCGCCGCTACCGCCCCGGTCTCGTCCTTTGAGAATATGCAGAAATGGCACATCACATTCCCCCCGGCCCCCGGTCCACACGCGTATCAGCACCAGCACGGACTGCGCATGACTACGCATAGCTTCGTGCAGGTCATCAGGTTCGCGGCAGCAGCCGGAGAACCAGGAACTGGCGGAACACCCTCCCTGCAACACAAATGCTCGAATGAAACATCCATGCACTAAACAATTTCTCTCGGCACAGATGGGGAACGGACATTCCATCACTAGAGTTGAACCTGAACACAGTCCATGAGCTCCATGACACACGCACGGACTTCACCGTCGCTTGAATTTCTGACTTGGCAAACGACTTGTTGTCAGCATCTGTGTTGACCGGTGCCGCCTGGTGGTCCTTCGACATATATATATAATGCAGATGCTGCTAGCCCTGTCGAACACTTGTTTCACAGTGGGCTCGAGGGGCTGCTATGCAGCCAGGTTTATGGTTTAAAGAAAGCTGAAAGCAGCGAACAGAAACTAAAACCTCTAGCCTGGCACAGCTCAAATGTCACTAGGTCCTGCGCAGAGTGGCTTGGAGAGGTTTCCATCCTGACGTTCATGACTGAATGGATTCTGTTTCAGTTCATGCTCCTTCATGCTCCTTCATGCTCCTTCATGCTCCTTCATGCTCCTTCATGCTCCTTCATGCTCCTTCATGCTCCTTCATGCTCCTTCATGCTCCTTCATGCTCCTTCATGCTCCTTCATGCTCCTTCATGCTCCTTCATGCTCCTTCAGTCCTTCAATACTTCATCCTTCATTCCTGCAATGAAACCAGAAGGCAGAACAGTGAAACGGTTTGATGCTGAAGCCGTATGGAAGGGAGGAATGCTTCAAGGCTGGCTCAAACCAGTATGATGCAGACCGACACGAGGCATACTGCACGGCCACGAGAAACTTATGTCCCCCAAAACGCCAAATGGAGGGCCCTTCGTCGACCTGAACACATCTGCGACGTCTGCTCTGTGGCAAGTTTTGGGAAACTGTGACCCTTCCAGCCTCTCAAGGAGCCTAAGGCCTAAGACTTTTCCTGGACGACCCTCGTCTTTATGAGGGTCTTGTCGGATTATGTTCAACTTCAGCGGCTCGAACCTGGAGCGTTGCACGCTCTGTTGTTCGACAAACATCCTCCGGATAAAGATAGGTACCTTCGCACTGATCTCCCCGTCGTTCGGGCCCCTATGATGTGGTCCAGCCCCACTGCCGCACTGGGCCTGTCACTTCTGCCTTACGATTGGCTCAAAGATGGTCTGCCAGTTTGACCTGTGAAAACATTGCCCGGTGTAACGTTGAATGAAGTTTGGATCGATTCACAGCACACACATCAACATCAAATCAATATAAGTCGACGATCATTGTTCTGTTTGGACAAACTTGCCTACTTGCAAGTCTTGCGGCTTGGCTCCAGAACCTCCTTCGACAAGTAAGGAGCGTATCGGGAACAAACATTGCAGGAGAGTGATAACCGCACGTCATGGGTTTCGCGACTAATTCTGGCTCGATGTTTCAGAATCTGTGGGTCGAGGACATTCATCCTCCTGCAAGCCCGTGGTGGAAGCGCCATGCTTCTAAACTTCTAAAGCATGTAAGAAAGCAAAACCGTGCCTGCTGTCTTCGGGAGTACTGAGGACTTTGTCATCTAGCAGTGCACGTGCCTCAAGCTCGAGCTTCAGCTACAGTTTTACATAGTTTTACATGGCAAAGTCCCCCTGAAATAGGTGGGCGGCCTGCAGCTGAAGTAGCTTGACGCTGCAAGCCTCTCCAACGGAAAGGAATCTTGCAACGGGCGCTTCTGTTTTCTTGGTTGTTGGCGCGACGGTAAGACGGTAAGAACTTCAAGCCGACAGCACACCGACACGGTTCTGTGTGAAGCTGCATGTAGGCAAAATTAAGCAAGCTCAGGCAAGTGAACACTCAAAGAGCGCCTCCCTCATGCAGTCATCATCTTGCTGTAAGCCAGGTACGACTTGCTCTGCCCACGCTGCGAGCAAGCCTAGCAGGTGTGTAAAGATGACAAGCCTGACCAGTTATTGTAGCACTTTATGTGGCGGACTAAGACACTCTGAGATGCAGACTGCTAACAGCCAATGCCAGCGCAGCATGGGCCTCCGCACTAAAGAGGTCGACGATCAACGGCTGTCCACATGCGCCCACATGCTCATTGTCTCGGCTTTTCGACTTTTCGACAATCCTGTAGAGAGAAAGGAGAAGCGCTGGAACTTTCAGAACATTGTACTGGTCAGATGTGAAGCCCGAAAACTGCCGCCCCGAGACTTGGCTCAATGGGTGTGGAGTTGCAGAACCCTGACTTGCATGACACGGGAATCGGAAGGGTTAGCTGAAAACCGAGCCTGAATGCAAGTCATGGAGAGGCAAGCGCCTCTTCAGTTCAGTATCTAGTGCTTCACCCGGGAAGCTACTGGAAGCTACAGCGCTGCTAACTGAGCAAAAAGTGTACAAAGGCTCGAGCCGATATGAGGCGAGACATGACACAAAATGACACAATTCAGCTTCTGGTCTGGTTCAGGACGGATGAGCAGGGTATGCGCAGTACTGAACTGGGCAGTGGCTTCACTGCTTCACTGTTAGACCCGTGCATCGAGAATGGCTGTCAGTGAATCGGAACACGCCCATGCTGTGCCGCCGTGGCCAGGCCCGCCTGCTCGCAAGGGGCGCCCGCACACTGCGTACCAGGCGTACCAACTTCCTGCATGGATTGTTTGTTGCTCGATCTGGCAAACTCGGTGAGCCCATTCATGACATCCTTCCGGGCATTGAGGTGGGTAGGTTGATAGTGCTCAGACGTTCGGAGATCTGGGTGAAAGAGGCCTCATCGAATTGGGTGCCATCATCTCGCTTCTGCATCTTCTGCACAGCGCAGTGTGCGCATTGTGCACTGTGATCGGCAGAGTGCATTGTGCTCTGCACTGCGCTACCTGAGGAGCTGTTCTGTGTCCATGTCTGAAGCCACTTTGCCTGTTGGGGACGGTCTCTACTACGGTACCGGGGGACAGGTTTCTCGGCGCTTGGACATCGATTCCGACGAGGGACATGACGCCTCATCACAACCTATCCGACAAACCGAAGCTTTGACTTTTGGGCTATCCATCCTCACGGTATCTCAAAAAAACCTGCCAACCATTACAAGGACCGAAATGCTGCAACGCCGGCAGCGATCTCGTTGCAGAAAATCCGGTCAAAACGCGTGTTCCCACTTAGGGGTATTTCTGTAACCTTGTTGCTGCCCATTGAACATAACCCCTAGAAAAAAAGGGTGAGGGAGTGGAACGAAAGCTAGTGGAGAGAGCCCAGGAGAAGCCGGCTCGGGTCTAATGCTCGTTAGGGCTTTGACATTTCAAACCGAAAACCCCAAAGCTAAAGCCCGAATCGCCAAGCGTTTGACTTAAAATGCTCTACCGTATGTTGCCTTCTTTGCTCAGCTAACCTTGATAATCGTTTCCCAAGGCTTGTCTCTCAAGCCTCCCGAGCAGATAAGAGCCGCAACTTCAACTGCACAAATTAAATAGGGTTCAGAGCGTACACAAACAAGAGGCGTTCATTTGTACAACACGAGGGCGGTTGCCGTGGCCCACAGCCCCCGGGATACGTCATTTCGTAGCTCGACTACTAAGTAACTCCACTAGCTCTCTCAGACCCTACTGGAGCTTTCGTGAAAACGTCATACAGGTTATCACAGTCCGCGACCTGCAAGTCTACAGATGTCCCCCTCTTCAACTGTCTATCTCTTCAGATCTGTTGCCCTTCTACCCTATTTAGAAAACGGAAGCCTGTTTAGGGCCCCTGTCTTGCTCGGGCACAGAAAAGTGGCAAAGCATAGAATGAAATGGCCAGGTTTAGACCACGGCTTCCGCAGATTTCATAACTGGACTGCTTTTTGGCAACCCATCAGACTAGTATGCATGCATATCGCAATGCTGCTGATGTGCCTGTTTCGAAGCAGGCGCCGACCTGGCAGCTGCAATCCGTCTTAGGGATCTGTCAAGCATTAAGCGGGGTGGGAATGTTGGCGGATGCCTTATGAGCCCGAAGGCATCACAACACGTGACTCGCAGAAGCCGACTGGTGTTTAGCGAGTGTTTAGCGACAGCCCCGTCCTCACCAGACCTCTGGCGCTCAGGGGCTCTACGTTGCTACCCCCGAGAGCAAAACCTATCAGACGGGTTGCCTGCTTGCCTTCTTGGCGGTCGAGGTTGACACAACGCTTTGAACTGTAGTTGGGAGTTTCTACTGGTTAGGGGTTAGAATGATGTCCTGTAAAATTAAAGACATGTTGGAGGCAGACGAATTAAGAGGATTTGGAAATCCTAAGAAGATCAAACAGTCGAAGCTTCTCCCAAGGCCCCCGAGGCAGCTCCAAAGTCCCAAGATAGTCCCAAGTATTCGCCCCCTTTAGGGCCCAAATAGGGTCAAAGGGCTTTAAGGCTCTAAGGGCCATACCTTCATGCGTCAAGACAGTTTCGTGATGCGCGCGATGCGAGCGCGAACGCACCTCAGGGCTCCTTGCGCGCTGTCGGCAACAACTTGTCAAAGTCCAAGTGGCGCTGGGCAGGCTGCACCAGCTTGTGCAGCTGGAGCGTCGGCCTGAGAAACGAAGCAACAAAGTTGGACAACGCATGCCGGTACACGTTGCCAACTGTGGCATTTCGCAACTTTCACCTTGTTGCCTCCCCCGTCTTGTGCACTTTCCGAGACAACCAATACTGTACGAAATCGGACAGGGCATGACGAGGTTTTCGCCTGCGAGCTGTTGCATGGTGCACTCGAAGAGTGGCAACAGGCAAGAGTTTGTGACCCACCGGGTTTCGTTTACATTTGGGAGTTTCGGATCCGATCCCTGCATCGGAGCAATATTGCCTTGGCCTATCAGAACTCACCTTGGAGCACGGAATTCGCCCGACATCGTCATTACCTACAACCGGCTGTCGGACTTCGGCTCGCACGTTCGAGGGCATGGACCCTCGATTCCGGCGATCTCGTCCGACAGCCTTCGCCCAATGATAGCGCTGTATAAGTGCTCACCGAAACAGTTTGCACAACGTTCTCCCATCAGCATCCAAAGAAGATCAGCTGCCGGCATCGCATGTTGCGCCACCTCTAGAGCCACCAGCGCACTCCTTCAATACTTTCAATGTGCAAAGAATAGCCGCGTCACATCCTGGTGGCATCCATCGCGACTGGCCTTTTAGAGCAGCACGCAAGATTCTTTCTGCAAAAAGCTCCAAACCTGGTGCCTCTGTCCTTCTTGTCCTTCACATCACGGAGACGCTGGCTTTGAGATTCAAACGTCGATCGCATGTGCTTCCCACCGAAAACGCTTCGGCATACCTCGCATGGGCTGTGCTGCTGTGGAATTCACTCTTTCAACTTTTATGCTGCCATGGGCTGCGCATCAGATCCACGATTGCAAACTAAGTGAAGGAACATAATGGTGGCAAGATGGCACGCTACGACATGCTACAACCGTAGTCGGGTCTGTGAGTGCAGGACTGCACGATGTCTTTGGAGGCTGGCAGGGTTGAACCGACGCCCGCAGTCCTGCCGGCAAAGGGAAAAGCGCATAGGGCAAGGCGCAAAGGACCCGAAACCGGCCCCGACCGCACAAGCTGAATTGAAACCAATGTTGAGAGACTGCTAAGAGCCGCAACAGACGGTCGGGTCAGCGCACTCCATCAGGCTGATTAACATTCTCCTCACATGCCATCAGCTGCAACTCGGATGTGCTTGGAGAGGTCACTCCTCGTCAATTTATCGCACTGATTAGCAAGAGCCTATAGCAACTGTTCAACTTGAGAAACGCATGCGTCTTGGTACGTACGTACCACTAGCATGTGACGCAACAACAAGAACAGCACATGCTGCCTAAATCCTGAAACTCGAAACCTGAACAATCTCCAACATAAACTGCGAAGCCCTTTCAGAGGCAGCTCGGTGTGCCTCGTCCATTCGTTGGGGAGCCCTTGGGCATGTCCTCTGCCACTAGCTAGCCGAAGTCAGCATCACCACCAGCAAAGCTGACCTTCAACATCCTTCAAAACTGCTCTCCTTCCGACGATCGTTCTCTGGGAGCGGCGTCTCCTGACAAGCACACAGAAGCAAACACAAGCCACTCCAAAGCTGCATTTTGTCACGTCGCCTCATGTCGGTAGCTTGACCTTCTGGCACGCTCATGCGCTGCGGGCGCTGCAGCCTGAATCATGAACCGGCTTTGAGCTCAAACGTGCGCTGTCAACAGCACACTCCTGCAGAAAAGTGGCCCACTCAAGTTCTGGATGTGGGGAGGTACCTCCAATCCAAAAACAACATCTTTCAGAGACGCTGAACTTCGGAAGTGCCTGGACCACGCCACTCCCCGGGTAGCCGTCCCCAAACCGGCTAAGGCTAACCGCCAAAGGAGACCCGGCATCTCCCGAACAGAACACTCACAACCACATACATGCTTTTACACACACACACATACATACATACGTACGTACGTACATACATACATACATGCATACATACGAGCGCGCACGCGCTTCCCCGGTTCTCTCTTTGTGCTGCTGAGGACGCTGCGCAACATGCTTGGTTTGTATTGCAGCATCTGCAGCTAGATGTGAAATTCCATGCCCAGCGGCTTTGGGAGACCTGTCTCGCAGGGCTTGAGGGTTTCAGTGGAACCTTTGAGACTCCGCTTTTCCAGTACCACCTCAACGTGGAGCACATCGACCAGTACTGCTTCACCTGAGCCTTGACCAGTCCCGCTTCAACCTGATCCGACCAGAACGTCGCTACGCTATACCTCGATCTTGCCACCGTCGTCCGGCAGCAATCGAGCTCCACGTCTTCCAGTGCCACATCAATTCAACCGGATGCGCCAGAACGTCGACATCGTGTACCCGAACATATAGCACTCGTTTTAATATTTTTTGACCGCGATAATCACAAATTAGTTTGTTCTGCGAATTCAGTTTGTTGGGGTTAATCGCCATAAGAACAAGTTTTTGTCGGGCGAATTTTTTGGGGGATTAGGTCAGCTGCAGTCTGAGGCCTTGTCAAGACAAAGCTCTCTCCAGCACAACTAAGGCTTCAGGATTTCCAACCTGGAAGGGGGGGGGGGGTGGGATGTGCGCCGCCTTGTGGTTGGAGGCCACCCAAGGACTGCCGCATCTCCTGCTACCGCGCCAAGATCAGGTTGGTTGACAGATTTGACAGCTGAGGCTGTGATACAGGGAAAGCTGGCCCGTGTTTGTCCAGCTGGCCTCCCGACCTGGCTGGGATGACGTCCCACAATGGCTGCTTGACCTGGCAGCACTCGGCCTGACAGCAAGGAGGACATGAATGCAACGAAGCATGATGACTGTTGATGCCCCCCCCCCCCCCCCCGGCAAATCACCGAATGGAGAGGTTGGAGTTCTCCGACTTAAGAATTTGAGGGGCGGCATTTTATCCTCAGGGTTTGAGGCACCGGTGACATTGAGACAGTCGCTCTTCAATTTCAGGAACGAAATATAAAGAAATCAAGAGTACCCCACAAGTTTTTTAGTAATGCGTTTCAAAAATTTGACTTGCACGTGTCTTATCAGCCGCTGCATTTTTGGTGTGAGGAGGTGGAGATGTAAAGGCGATCAATACCAGCGAAATACATCGCAATGAGCAGCTGATGCCATCATCGGGCGCCCAGCGAAGTTTGCCCGTCACTGTCGGGTTCCGGTGGGGCTGCAGGTGGCTCCTCCGAGTCCTTATTTGCTGATTCATGCATGCCCCATTCGACGCTGGCCTTCGCACCTCTCGTACTGCTACTTGGCTGAAGTGTCCTCGCGGGCTTGTTGACGCATGTTGCGGATCTCCTGGCACAGTCCCGCTGTGGGCTTATGCGGCTTTTCATGGAACTGCTTCAACATGATTTCAACATGCATGGCACTGCCTCCATCTGGACATCCATCACCTGTCTGACTCTTTGCTCCTTCTCCTGGCTGGAAAGATGTGCGTTGCGTTCGTAAAAGGTGAAGAAGCCAAAAGCAACGTCGCTGTCAAATTCATCGCTTCCCCCTACTTCTACCCCCGAGACAAAGAGATTCCCTAATTAAACATTAAGCACTCATTAACCCCAAAGCCGAAAACGACAGTGATGTGGTAGTGACTGCGACCAGTCGCAGCCTTTTGCAGAGATTCAGCTCCAGCCAGCCCTTGAGCTTCCGGATTCCAGTAGCAGTGACGTTTAGTGTTGGGCCGGGTGCCGGGGGGGCTCGGGCAAAATAATTTTCAAAAATAGGGTGGGTTTAGTATTAGGGGAAGGGATTATTCCTACCAGTAGCAGCGGATGCTCGCTTTTTGTTTTGAGTACTGTAGTTGAAACAGCCTACACAACCTTGAAGTCAACCTGGAAAGATGCAGGTGCGATGGTCATGACAGGAACAGTCGAACTGCTTAATTTCTGGTGTTCAGCTGATACTGGCAGCAGGTTGTCGAGCGTTCATCAAACTGAAACGGGCATCGGCTGTCCCGGGAGGACAGCTCTTCTGGCAATTCAATAAGATCACCGAAGACTTCGAAGGCCGACAAACGCCACTTGCGGGCTGTCTGCGTGCCCGAGGTAACAGCATCTCCGCCAGTGTCAAGATTGGAGGCACAACTCCAGACTTCCACAGAGAGCAGGCGCCCGATTGGGAGTGGGCGAACCGCTTGGAGCTTGACAAGGGAGTGGCGAAAGTGAAAGTTACCCTCTTCGTCAAGTCCGTAGTTTGGAAGAAGCTCGACGTGCGCATGAAGGTCACCAGCCAAACCGCCAGGCAGCCCTTCCTTGAGCTCAGCGTGGCTATCTGCAACGTCCAATCGCACACAGCATTTGCAGGGAACTCTGGTGTTGGACGTGAGTCCAATCAAGGCTCCCTGCAGTCGCAGCATGAACTTGGGTCCTAGGTCAAAAACAAGGCGTGAGGCCACAGTGTTCTCATATGCGTCCACCTCCGCGCCATCCTCAAACCCTGCTTCTTCCAAATACAGGTTCAGACCTTCACCGCACTGATCACCATCATTGTAGAACTCTGACAAGATCGCAAGCCGGCGCTCCGTATGCTCCGCAGATCGGGTTGAATCGAGCAGCTCGCCCAGGTCCGTCGTTGCGGCATTGGCAGCATTGGCTTCAAGGAAAGAATCTGTGTCTCGACAATTACACTCGGCGGAGACATGCACCGTGCCACGTGTTGAAACCTTTCCATCAGCTGAAAGGCGATACGCACAAGGATTTTGACGCTTGCCGCGCAAATATTCAAAGACACCGCCCTGCAGACCATGAGATCTCAGCCCCAGTTCCAAGCTTATGAACTCTTGATCCAAAAAGTCGCCGGCCTTGAAGAAAGCAGCGCTGTCGCATGCAGCAACAGAGGCCAATTGCGGCAAATGAAACGGCCTTCCTACCGTCCAGCTCAGCATCAAAAAATCTAGCAACTGATGCAACACAAATCCAAACTTATCCAAACCATCGTGTACTACGTTAACTGCCTTCGTGAGGCTGGCCTGCGCAACGAGCAATGCACCAAAAACTACTTCAAAGGCTGCGGGTGATGTTTCAATGAAAAGCTCATCCGTAGTAGGGATCTTTGTCGTGAGATAGCTTGTAAAATAGGATGGCCCCAATGCACACAGTGTGTGTCTGGTGGCCTGCATTCGCGTGCCGGCAATATTCAGGCACAAACGATGCGCTCCAGTCGCGGGCGGTGGTATGGAAGAATGGGCAAGGTCGCTTGTTTCCGCAGGAACATGGTTCGGCGAGGTGCGCGGTCTTTTCGAAGGACGTGATGTCTGCACACCCATGGCATTTTATGGGGCAAGCCGGGCAAGCAAATCCTTGAGCATTTGATGACTTGGCGAGCACGTCGTGCACAGCTGATTCAGTAAGAATTCCTATCACCCCCTGCGAGAGGACACATCCTCGAGGTCGTCGTCCCCTTTCGGCCAGGCTGCACCCCTGGGCTTGTAGGGAGTCTCATAGTCTCTGACAGATTCTGACAGACAAGTGATGCGTGTTTAAGGGCAAGGGGGAACCCCGAATGCCATGCTGCGAAGATCTGTGCAGATGATGCGTCAAACGCGCACGTTTTGATAGTGAGCTGCCGGCCAGGCTTCGGATGCTGAAGCGAAGATCTTCCTGCAAAGGCTCTTTCACAATCTCTGCATAGACTTTGCACGAAGGTAGGTGGACCAAGTCCCACTATGCAATTGGCTGGTGCTGATACTTCTGCAATGGCAGTTTGTTTTCGTTGGCATGCCGTCTGTGCAAGCGTGTTGCCATTCAAGCCTCAGAGCAGCTCCGATTCAACGGACCACAAGTAGGCAGTGAGCATATTGAGCACATTTCAATGAGCAACAGCTCCTTGTAAACATGCATTGTGTGCAGCTTTGTCTGGCACTAGTCACTAGTCCAGCGGTGCATATGTACAGGTGTCCACATCTGAAGACTTGAGCGCAACAAGTCGGGACACAGCGCACACTCAACCTGCTTAAAGATGCTCAAGATCGAGCGATCAAAAGCAGCACCATCCGAAGCCTTCAAGCTTGGTGATATTACCATTGCTAATGCAAGCAAAGCAAGCTAGCATTGCCCTCTGCTCTGAGCTCCTGACACTTCTTCACCACTGTAGCGGCGAGTCGCTGGCCATATGGGATGTATGAGAGCGTGTACCACGCAAGGGAGGCCCTCGGCGTCTGCATTCTTGCTGACATCTTCGGTTTCAGGATGGGCAGTTTGAGCATCTGTTTGTTGTGGTTAGACGCGGGCCATTGAAGGCCAACTAGGGCCAGGATAACCAGCGAACGGCCGAAGAAGTGCGGCACCTTGACGCAGCCAGAAGACTTCGAAATATACGTATTACATCCACCGACCTTGTGCGCTGCCAAGTGGGCCGAAGTATGCCCAAGTTTCGCATTTTGCAGGTGTCTGTAAAAACATAAATAAAGCAGGTACTCCGCGCCAAATCACCCCGACCCCGCCCCGCCTCATATTGCTTCCCAAGCAAGCCTGTGCTCTCCAACCCTTGCCATGTTTCCTATCTCTTTCCCCATCTACCCTCAACTCCCCCTTGCTTGCACCTTCCCTATCCCTTCCCTACCCGCGCGCTTCTTCGATCTACCCCTACCTTCTTTCCCCTGCTCTCTGAAGAGCCTGCCCCCCTGACCTCTCCCTCCCTTCCCACACCTCCCTGGATCCAATCCCCGACCCTCCAAAGACCCTGCTTGCCTTTTCATATTGCCAAACCCTAGACCCTAAACCTTGAACCTTGCACGCTGCCTCCTGTACACCCCCTGGAACCTGTCGTGGCGGCCTTGCCTCACCACTGCAGTGATGCAAAATGTGAAAAACTAAGGAGCCCTGAAGCCAACAAGGCCCTGTCATGTGCCGATTTTCAACAGGCATCGGCGCAACAGTGACAGCGTGCCTCCAGGCCCAGCAAAGTCAGCATCATTGACACGAGGAATACTGCTGATGTGTTTGCCTGGGCATGCGCATGAAATAGATGGCTTCAGCACGTCATGCAAGCAGCTGTCTCGGTACCAACATATTAAACATATTCGGGTGATTTCGGGCGCAAAGCAGCCCGTGGGGCTTCGACTCGACTCTTGTCGGCCATTCTGCGGACTTGTCGTCTGGGCCCCGCCTGCAATCTGCCGTCTGTCTTACAAGTGGTAACGGGCATACGATAGCACAAGTCCAACGACGAATAGGGATGACAAGGCGGGAGGATCAAAGCGCTGAAATACTGTAGAGAAACTGAACTACCGCGGGATTGATGACCCATAACTCCCTGGCCAGGAAAAAGGTGCCGACAAGCGCCACCATGTTCCTCACAAGGCAGTCATCCGCCAGCTTCCCGATCTTGGTTGCATCTGAGCCGAAGACCCTAAGGTGTAGGTGAGCGCGAAGCGGCTGGGATGGCCAAGCATTGCTCGCGACCTTCGGATCAGACATTCAGCTGCGTTGTGGCCATTGTGGGATTCGAACATCAAAAAGCAAAGCAAGCTGCGGCCGGGCTGCAGCGAGCCCAAACTGCACACTTGCAGCAAACAACCCAGACCTTTGTTCGCTCTCTCTCTCTCTCTCTGCATGAGTCTTCATGCAGCCCTCGAGCATGACAGCATCAAGTACGACTACATGGAAATGCCTCGAGCTGAGATCAAGACCGAAGCACACAGCCCAGCCTTGCTTGCAGCGACAAAGCATGACGAAAGCCATGCACAAGTGCGGACGAGGGCCGTGCCGGTTGCTCTTTGCTTGTACGTTATGTCGGGACAGCAGATTTTCCAAAGATCCTCTTCCTCCTTCACATGCCATGTGCTTAGTGGCCCCGAGCATCCTCGGGGCGATTCTTCAAACACCTTCTCGACATGTCTTTGCCACACGAGCTGCAAGACCCCAGCAGCTTCGGCATACAAAAGAATTGCCTTCCACTGTCTTTCCCTACTCCGACTTAAGTTGTCACCTGTCAGCAAGCCTGAGCGTCTGAGTTAAGTGGTCCTGTGGGTAGGTGGATATAGTTTTCTTACCTCCACTTGAAATGCAGTAAGGCTGCAACTATGGGCACATTTAAATCGCAGCTTGAGGGTGCACAAAGGAAGCATTTCCAGGATTTAGGGCTTTGGGCGGAGAAATCACAGGGCCACTACAGAAACTGCACCAGGATTATGATGCCCTAACAGGCTCGGCCTTGGAAATCGTCAAAATAATTTGTTTAGGTTTTGAATCCACAAGGAGTCCGACAATAACCCAAATGAAAGTAGGAAAACAAAACCCTGAACGTAGTAAAAAAACGCTGTGCCCAAAGGAGCTGGAAACAAATTAGACAAAACATGCGAAACAAATTAGACAAACAGTGCAAAACAAATTAGACGAAAAGTGCAATTTCTTGTTTCCAGCATCCTCCCCATGTTCCTTGCTTTGCCTAAGGACCTAGGTAGTATGTTCCCTACAATTTGTTTCTTCTGCTTTATGTCTGTCCTAGTGGTTCTTGCATGTTCCTATGGTTCCCTTTTTTTCTCATTTTATGACCCATGTTTTCCTCACTGTTTGGCCATTTTCCCTATTTGGAATGCCATTGTTTTCCTACTTGTCCGAAAAAATGAAGACGCCGATTTGTTCATCGATTTATGCGTGCCTAGTGTTTTTGCATATTTTTCTCACGTTGATTCCTATGGTTTTTGGATTGTTTTCCCAAGATAAACTATTTTAGGCCGTCTCCAACGGAAGACTCTAAACGCATCATGACACCAGGAGTTCTCGCAGAAGGTACACAGTGTGCTCGAATTCCAACCTCTCCTGGTCCTCCTCCTTTCGGAGGAAGCTCGGAGTGACGCTCCGGAAGACATCACCAAGCCTCACTCGTGCCCGACTTGTGCCCAAACGACTGGCACCAACACCCCACCTCTCAACTCGTCTGCTATCGCACGGAAAGTGAAAACGCCGCTCCTCGACGGACGGCAGAGAACTGAGCGCTGGGCCCAGCCTCCAAATTTATCGGCTCAAAGGAGACGTTGGGAAGTGGGACCTTCTCAGACACAAGGACAAACGTCAAAGACAACTGCCAATGGATAAATATGAACCGAGGAGGGTGGCATAGTGACTCATCTTGCACCTCTGTGAAAGCCTGGCGCTTGCAACTTGCAACCGCGTGCCGCCGGAGTGGGGCGCGACAAGTGCCCGTGAGTGCCAAGAACTTTTGTGGGCCTCGTTTCGGCTCAGCTCGGACACGATCGCACATGTGAGCCCCAACTGTGGGCTCGGAAGCCACTGTGAGCGAACTGTGAGCCGTAGGATCAGCAACGGAGGCTGCGTGACAGAGTGCCTAGCATCAACTGCTGCATATGTGAAGGGGCTCACTGCAGCTCTCCGTCCTGCTAGCCCTTGAAGGGAGTGTTGGCTCAATCTGGGCCAAACAACCACTCCAACAGATGACCAGCTGCGATGAACATTGGCCGACACACGTGGGCTGGCAAGCGTTTGCTAGCGCCCTTGAGCCCAAGGCGGGCTCTTGCACCGTACCTGGATCACATTTCAGCGTTTTGAATGTAGCACTTGCGGCCATCATCGGCCAACCGTGCAGTGCGCACTGGCTGCAGCAGCCCCAAGTTGTTGCCTGGGGCTGGTCTCGAACCACTGCATTGTGATCTTTTTCGCTGTTCTGTGCCCTATGCATCCCTATGCTCTCATGTCTTGCGTCCTCTGACCGCGTTTCGCTTCCGCTTGAGTCGCTTGAGGTCCTCGGCACACAAAGGGTCGACACAAGTCGACACTGTTTCGGCATTTAAGCACTCGAACCATGACTCTGAAGCAGGGCCCAGAAGAATATCGCATGAGCACTTGAAAGCGATAATCATATACTATTGACTGTATATCCGAGGCACCGGGATCTGGTTCCCGGCCAACGCCTCGACTGGACATCTGCATCGTCTGCGATTTGCAGAGTCGCTCTCCTTGCCTGCCCCACGAGCTGCAGCAGGCGCCTCGTGGCCGACCATAAATCGCAACGGGCGCAGCACAAATCTCATAACCACCCACGCCTTGGTCACTGCGTAGACGGGCAGGAATTGAGGCCTTGTTTTGCCGAATACCTGAGGCAAACTGACCCGAGGCACACCGACCGCATTTTATCATTATGTATGCTGTTCGTATTTTACGTACAAACTATATGTAAATCATATGTCATGTGTCTTGTACATCTTTACTCTATACATTTTGCAAACATCCACATCACTGACAGCGCCTTCTGGCAAACAGGTTGATGCCGCGCGTAGCTGGTTGGATTGAACTTCCGGCCGCAGAACTCGCATTCCAGGCGTCCATCTGTCAGACTTTGCTTTTCACAGGGTTTTCACCGAAAGCCAATCATGCTGAGGCTTGTTCAGGAGAGAAATGTGAAACAATGTGACATGGCACATTGAACAAGGCTTGCCGATACACAAAAAAAACACACGACTTTGGTTGGTGTTGGGGCTGTCGGTGAAGGCGGTGACTGTGATTGTACAAAGACAGAGCCTCTGCCTCTTTCACAGATGTGTTACTCACACACACACACACCGCTTCTTGCTAGAAGATCCCCTTCTTTTTAAAATATTTCTAGATGTTCATGTTTTCCTGTTTGCTTTTTCTTGCCCAGCACAGAGAGGGCTCAAGGCCTGCAATGAGTTGGCCTTCCCCGCTCTCTCTCTCTCTCTATCGCTTTCTTTCTCTTCTTCTTCTTCTTCTTCTTCTTCTTCTTCTTCTTCTCCTTTGAGGGCTTGGGAGGATGAACCCCTCCAGGGCACCGCCACATGCACCTTATGGTGGGGCTTTTGGGGCTTACTTGAGCACGTGTTGGTAACCTTTCAAGCCAGTCCCAAAAGATCACCCCGAACGTGCGTTTGCTATGCTTGCTTCGAGCTCTACATCTAACACCACAGCACAAGCATGAGGCTCTCGGTCCCGTACTCCGAAACCCCGAAACGGCAGAATCCTCTGGCCCTCCCGAGAGATGTGCTGAATGCACTACTACTGACATGGTTCCTGCTGTCACTCATTACGGCAGGGTTTGGCGTAGCGGTGTCGTAGCTGTTGCCTCCCCCTGACTCGGGGCTTGTCTCTCCATCGGCTTGCCCGATCTCTTCGATTCATCTGGCTGTGCTGCTGCTTCGGGGCTGCATACAGACCGCCGTCGAACTTGCGGAAGTCCTGGTGGTGGGCGTGCCCGGTTGTTGGTGGAGGGCTCCATCGTTGTGTGGGCGTGCTGTGAGCCGTCGGTCAGCCTGGATAGTGGTTTATGTGGGTGTCAGGATGCCCCAGGCATGGTGCTGCGGCGTCGGGAGGCGCGGCCATGGGCCCTTGGCTTGCCCGCTTCGCCCGGGGTGCTCTCGGCTCGTCCAGTGTGGTTATGCTCCGTGTCTTCCCGATGCTGCAGTGGTGCGCCTCCACTTGATGGTGTTTGTTTACATATGTCTTTGTTTGTCTTTTCCTTTGTGTCTTTCTTAATCCTGTTTTGTTCTTTCCTCTTCTGCGCATTTGAGGACCCCTCTCTCTCTCTCTCTCGCTCTCTCGTCTCTTTCATTGTGTGCTCTCAAGCTTGTTCTGCAGCTCTCGTCGTCTCTTCTTGTATTCGCCTCGCTTTTGTCTCTGTATGTTGTGGTTCGCCACACCTTTGTCGCATGGACCAGTTACAGTAGCTGCAGAACAAGTTCTCCCCGTGGTGAGAAGAGCGGTCGCTGCTTCCGGCATTTTGTTGAGAGTCTCCGCCTGGCAGCCTGGATGGCTTCGAGGGCTGTGGCGCAGAGTCCTGGCATATAGAGTCCTAGAGTCCTAGAGTGCGCAATATCTGAGAGTTTGTGGATTCAAACTTAGCGACGGAGCCTCCTGCACGCGATCTTCCGACTCGGGCTCCGTTTCGGCGTCTTCCGGCTGCACGGATTCCACGGCCTGCTGTGAAGCACAAGAGCTCAAGTCTGTATTAAGCGCAGCCTCATCAAGTCTTAGCATGTTTTGCTTCTTTTCTCGCGTGCTCCACACACATATGATCACACATGCTGTGGATTGAGGAGGCTTCTTGCCTCGCCCCTCCCCGAGAGCACTCTATCAACAGAAACTGACACTCGATGCACGAGCAAGCGAACCGTGGTGCTTGTTGTGGTTTTGTGTGCTTTGGTGTGGTGCCCTGCAGTGCTCCTACCTAGACCGCCGACGTTTGCCAATCAGCAACTGCCATCGACGAGGCTCACCCTGAGCAGCGAGGAAGGAAGACACAACACAATAACATGAGAACAAGACGGCAGACATTTGAAACAAAAGACAGAATTCGACCTCGTCGTTGGCTTAGGACACGCAGCTAGTTCAATTCAAGGCTGGCGGCACGGCAGATAGCTCCGCTCCGCTGCGCGTCTTCCACACGACTGTACCTAGGGTCACTGTGTCGAACATGTTCAAAGGTTCAGTAGATAGCAGCCAGTGGATCTAAGCCTGCAGCAGTCCTCTCACTTTGAGGAGCCAAATGCCCACCTCTGGAACGCCAGAAGATGAGCTTCTGCACAGAGATTCATAGAGCTCGTCGCCTTCAAATCGGTGTCCGTGGGTTGGCAGATGTTGGCAGATTTAAAAGTCGTCATCTGCCTTGGTCAGGCAGCGTTTCATGATTTGGCATATGTCTGTGTTGGATGTGAGACCACGAACAAACCAACAAACCTAAGGACAAGGCGGCTGCTGTACCGGAAACGGAGGCCTGCGCCTCGAACATCTCAACAATCTGCTCGGCTCCCGTGGACTCCTGTCCATGCAAGTTGCATCCAACTCCATTATCTTCTCTCTCTTCTCTCTCTTCTCTGCTTCAAATGCGGAACCAAGCATTGCTTGCCAGTGGGCTACCAAGATTGACAACAATGGGCTGTAGCGCGTAATGGACATCTGACATGCCACCGATTGTCGCTGCAAAAAGCAAAGCAAAGGCTAAAGCGAACGGGCATGAAAGTCTTCTGAGCTTATAAACAACTCAGCCTTATTTGCACCCGCCCAGCAACAGTTCACATGCAACCCCCTGGATGTTACAAAGTGCAAGCATCTACGCTGTGCATGTCAGATAGCAGATGCAGCTCGTGGACTCCACCAACACTGCTACCAGCGGCAGACATGGAAAAGGAACAAAGCGGCCTTGGCTTTTTGGATGGGAACTGGCACCCCCTCCCAAGGCCTTTGGGTCGTCTCGACAGGGCCAAGGCTGCCATAGACATCTGAACCAGGAAGTAATGAAATTGTTGAAGAATGGACAGTATTTCAAGCCGCACCGCGACCACCTGGTGGAGGCGTTTTTCCTCGGACTGGCTCTTCTTTTCTCTATGGGTCTGGCTCGACACCTCGGTGGTTCATAGGCTTTAAATTCTTGAAATACTGCAACTTGACATGTTTTCCGCGATTCGAGCTCCTGGATAGTTACAAGCACCGCGCAAAAACCTGTAAATCACCGCATTTATGTGCGTCCGCCTGTTTGACAGTGCTCAAAATCCTAGCAATTACAGCATTCACGGGCTTTAAAAACTCCACAATTGCCGTGTTCTCAACATGTGCAGCTCCACGGAAATTACGTTGAAAATGCGTCAGATCCTAGCAAGTACAACATGTACGGGGTTTAAACAGCGTTTGTCGTTGCTTTCCGCATTTGATTTCTTGTACACGACGAACGCGAAACAAACCTGCAACGCGCACCATTTATGCACGTTAGCCTGCTTGCAAGTGCCAAATCCGAGCAATCACTGTCACAGTATTGATGGGCGTTACTCTGGGGGTGGTCTTGAAGCAAGCTTGCACGGCTTGAAATAAGGGGACCCATTTGCAAACACGATGCTCGCATGATGGGTTTGGAAAGTTAAGCAGGATTGCACGGCTGAAAAAGCGGTGGGGTTGGAGGGGGGGCACCCCCAGTTGCAAACAAGATGCTCGCATGATGGGTTTGGAAGGGATTCGTATGGTCTCAAGGGCCCCCATTTGCAATGCTCGCATGACAACAGCACCAGAGAATCACAGGACCCGCCAGACCTAGAAAAGGGGAAAGCAAAGCCAGAAAAAGACACAGGACCCGCAACCACCTCCACCACCAGAACCGCAAAGAATCATGGCAGCTACGTGATAACTTCATGGAAGCTATTGTGTAAGCAAACAGGATATAGCAGAATGACTATCCAATCAGCATCGAGAAGCCAAGTGCACAGTGTAAGCCCACGGCAAGAAGGGACTGGACGGAATAGCTACGCGATGCCCCATGTGTAAGACAGAAGCTACAGCCGCATGGTCTCGGGGTTCTGAGTCTGCCCATCGTCCTCGGGAGTCTTGTCATCCCGGATTCGAAGGAAGCGTGGAAATCGGAGGCCGATTCCCTTTCCGTCTGCCTCGCGAGCGGGTTGCGGACGTGACACAAGAGATGACAAGAAGAGCCCCTGTGCCCTCTCTCACATGCCCTCCATCCCGAATGGCAAAGTGTCCAGCATCAAGCGCGAAAAACCGACAAATCAGTGCGAAAAACCGACAAATCTGCTGCATACTAGTTAACATCTCACATGTGGTGCTGTAAGCTTCTAGCTTTCCTTCTGGTGACGGAACTCGAAATGGCATCCGTTGAGGAACAGCGGTGTTTGCTGTTTGCTTGAAAGAGCAAAGGCTGCTGATTATGTTGTCCATCCGCAAAGCAATGAGTACACCGATCGAAGATGCAATGACTCTTGCGCTCTGTCTACTGTCTGTCTTGTACATGTGATGACTCAAGGGTCATGGCAAGTTACTGCACGGCCCTGGAAACAAGTGAGCAGTTCTGCCCTCGAGATTCTTGGGTACTTTCTGCAAGGTCACGAACAAGCAAACATATCACAAGGCATCGCGTCCTCCGCCAACAAACCGGAAAGCAAGGAATGATCAACGGTGCAAGGAACGGGAAAGGCATGCGACAAACTGACTCTTGTTGGGTGCAACTCAGACTGCCTTCGAGCATGGCAGGCAACTACAGCGATGTTGGCTCCACACTGGCGAGACTCAGAGTCCGCTTTACAAAAGGATGTTGTCGTGGTTTGTCATTTTTTTGTCCCTTCTGCAGCTTGGGCATCTTAGAGTCAGCCATTCTCTCAGATTCCAAGTTGCACAAAACAGCGTCTCTCAGCATGCTCCACAGAGGCTCCGCACGCCCCCACACTTGCTCTCAATCTTGGCCATTGCAAAATGTCTCCTGTTTCTGCTGCGTGCAGGGGGGAGGACACAACCTTAGCCTTCGCAATTTAAAGCGCCAGGCCATGAACATTTTCGAGAACTCCATCGAGAAATAATTTCCATCGACTTTTGGAGAAAATGCGCTTCCGCTCACGGGCTTCCGCGGACCTTCCGCAACATTTGGGCCATTACTACAACGGGACTCCGCTTTTCGAGGCTTGCTTTCCACAAAGCTTCCGTGAGACGGGCAATGGTGCTGTCGATCGTCTGCTTTGGGTTAGGGCCCCGCAGCAAGGAGAGGTTCTGTCTGAGACGAAACACACAAGCTGAGGCAGCCCCGAGTATGGAGTAGAATTCCGCGTTGTAGGTTTGAAGGTCTTGGATTTTCTGGAGCTGTTGCTTTGGTTTGTGAGCATCTACAGTAGCAGCTGTAGCATCGAGAATTCTCACAAGCTTGAAGTTCGGACCTCTCAAACTGCAGTATTGCGTCAGACAGATTGGGCCGCATCTTAAACAGATCAGTCGCTTCCGCGCAGTTTCCGCGGAGCAGAGGATACCTCCTTTAATACACCCACCACGCTGACAATTCCAGACGGCCTGTTGCCAGGGTCGCAACAACAGCTTCCGCAATGAGCTTCCGAGGACCACTGATTTGCGCGGACCACTTGCTTCCGCAAGCCTTCCGCGAGTACTGCCTGGCCTATTGCTCGCAAATCGTCCGTATTGCTTTTGCCACGCTGAAGTTCTGGCAGTTTGAAAGCCAAGGTTGCGGCATTTAAATATGACAACCAGGCACCCCCCTACCCCCCGTCCTTTCGTCAATAAATGAGCCCCCACGCATGTCGCCGCTGCAATGGTGTCAACAATGTCTGATGGCTAAGGGTTCTGGAAAAAAATCACAGGTCCAGAGAGAGATCAACATTTGTGCAAGCTCAGTAGTGGAGAAGCAAAGGCTCAAAACAAGGATTGGTATCAAGTGGTCTCCAAGCTATTCCCAACACACGCAGTTTGTTTCCCCCTCTGTGCCAACATCGGCCGACGTGGCCTTCACGCCGAAGGCGCTCGTGTGCACGGGAGAGATGCTCAAATCGGCTGCTCTGATCTCCCAGACCTGTGCGTCACTGATGATCACTGATCGTTCAAGTCCCATCAATACTGGCACATACTTTCATCCCACACAGTCAGCTTCTCTACTGGCGGCCAAGAGTGGCAGCCAGGCCAAGCCATGTCAACCGCTATCGTTCACTTTCAATTTGGGGGTTTACGAAAAGATGGGACCCCTAAAATGGCAGGATTCCCTTATAATGAGGACCCTAAGAAGGTACCCTTATTTCCGGAACCCCCCATTTCACAACAACTTGTAGGGTCCGCCTGGCAGGGCTCCAACCACACATCTGGCTTCAGCTTGTCATTCACATTGTAATTGGTCTGCGAAGCATTTGCGAAGCCAATGAGCCCATGATGTCAGCAGTCAGAAAGGCTTTAGGCAGCTGTGGAAACCTCTGCGCACGGGCGTTGGTGGGTTTTGAAGAAGCCGTAGTGGGTTACCAGGTCCTGCAACGCAACCAAGGTTGCAAGCAAATCTCAATTGCTCATGGCGACATCTCCAAGAAGAGACGCGGAGTAATGACTTACATGCAAAGACATTTTGTGCGAACTTACCGCGGCCTCGTCGGAGAAGCCAGTGCCCGCTTTGCACACAGTCTGGAATTCTTCATTCTGCGAAGGCGCAAGCTGTTGAATCAGCGAAGATCCAATTTAACCTCAAGATTGCCCAGCCTCCTGGTCATAAATTGCAAGTAGGTATGCCCCATAAGCGCCGGAGCGCTTTCCCTGGTTCAGAGATATCAACATCAGAAAAAACCCCATCACTGTAGTCGAAGCGTCCTTGCCGTAGTAGGCCCCGATCGGCACCACATCGATGCTGTCAGCCATACCTTCAAGGTAGTCCTGCGTTAGTTCTCATCTTATTGCAGTTCTTACAGTTCTTGCATTCACTGCATGGCAACTTACAGGCACTTCTCCACCGATATGATATGGCACACGCTGGTTAGATTCGTTTGGGCTTTGTTGGGCCAGCACCTTTACCTTGTCGTTCCGTACCAACGCCATCCGTGGCCCCAGGCGGAAAAATCCTCTGCGTTTATGCCTAGCTTCTGTTGGCCGCAGCGCCATCGGTTCCCTTGTCGAGCCTACCCCTCTGCGGCCCCAAGGTCTCGAGCTCCAAAACGTTGCGCCCCTATCTGCGGACCCAAACCTCATTCCAATCCTCAAATACCTCGCGCTCTTCTCTCGAGACATCTCGGAAATCCATCCCTCCCTCCGCCTTTCGGGTTCAGGTCATTGAAGTTCATGCTTGAGATATGGAGTTTCAGTAAGAAGGTATTTAGGGTTAAGGCTTGCAGTTTCCATAGTTAATCAATAGGACTTGGGATGTAGGAGTTTCACTAGGGTCGTGGTTTCGAGCTTCAGCAATAGTAATAGGATTTCGGGCTTTGAGGTCTCAAGTCTCGCGCGTTTACTATCGAAGCATGCACCATGGAGGCCAGAATACTTGAACAATAAAACTCGTACCAGCACGTTGAGTTTTCCTATGGGAGAAGGCACCATGCCGGCCAAAATGCTTGCAAGAAGACAGCCGGCACCCAGCACGTTCAGGGTTTTCTTATTGAGGAAATGCACCATGGGCATGCAGAGTACCAAGCAAAACTCGTCCGCCCATACTGACAAAAAAAAGACCAGTACGTTGAGGGTTTTCTGTGGGAAGGAATTCGTGCAAGGCAAGTAGAGGGTTTTCGGTGGGAAAATGCGAAGAGCCTCCACATACTAGGTGAGAATCGTTTTCTTCCTGCGTGCAGCTGTTTCGTCAATTTGCCATAGTCAAGCCCTCAACATGCTGAACACACGAATCGCCGCGCATCTCTCGCCTGAAGCCGTAACCCCTAAACCACTCCCATACTGCCGCTCCTCGAAAAAGCAATAATGAAACAGAATGCGCCGGATGCAGTTTTAATCTGGTGGGAGGGGGGCATGTTTTCTATTCCGGAGGAAGAGATTACTAAGCAGATTCACACGTTCCAGTCGGTCACCCTGTTCCTTCGCGTCACTGAAGATCCAACTTAACATTTACAAAACCTTCCGGTCATTAGGATGGAAACACAACCTATCTGTTTTCACAAGATGCAAGTGTATACATAACATGCGTATGATACCCCCCCCAAATTTAAAAAAAAAAAAAAAAAAAAAAAAAAACAATAATTTATATAAAAAAATGCAACACCGTAGGACTGTATAAGGGGGCGGAGGGTCTCTCCGCAGGCTGCGAAACCAATATAGGGCTAGTGAACTGTCCACTCTAGGGCTTCCCCTGGTGAAGTGAAGTGTCCATTCATTTCCAGGGCGTGCATGTCATGCTATGAGTTTCGGTTGAACTCTTACTTCATAATCTTGCAAATGGAGCCCCACGTATATAAGAGGGCGGCCACTCAAATGTACCCTTATCAGAGTGTCAATGACGTCCTAGCTACTCGAAACGTGAACACGAAATTCACAGGATACTAAATAGCATGTTCAACAATATTTTGAATATACTGTTTGTATATGAGGACCATGTAGAGTCTTACTTATTCAAATCACTGAGAAAAACACGTGTTATGCACAGGCCTTTGTTAAGGAGGCTTTAACAGACAACGCCTAAATTTGCCAATACCTAAATTTGTGCATTCGAAAGAAGCTGAAGAATCATGTGCCTGATAAGAACCATTTTGGGATAGTACCTACTGTTTAGGAAAGGTTATATTTCATGAACTCCCTTACTTTGCGATAACGAGTGTTTCATTTTTTGACAGGATTCCAAGTAGTTCACTAGCGGTATACTGGAACTAAGCCCTGTTACTTTGTTGAACGCTTCTATTCGCTTTTTGTGCAGGATATTTCAACATCTTATTGGCTCTTTGAGCAGGCTACTTAGGATTTGAGTTCATGTTTCGAGTAATTAGGACGGAATTGAAATCTGACAAGGGTATATACGTTTGAATGGCAGCCCTCTTATAAATCGTCAAAAATGGAGAGTGCATATGGGCTAACCTCGAATGTGCAAAATCACCAAAACCCAAAAACCCAAAAACCCAAGACCCAAAAACCCAAAAATCCAAAACTCCCAAAATCCAAAGACCCAAAAATCCAAAAATCCAAAAATCCAAAAATCCAAAAATCCAAAAATCCAAAAATCCAAAAATCCAAAAATCCAAAAATCCAAAAATCCAAAGTATATGTATATACAGTATATATATATATACAGACGGTGAAGGGCCACTATCATTCAGGGGCCAAAGGCTATGTGTAAAGAGTCACACAGGTAATCCTACGTGCAACTGGCCCCCGGTCAAACATTCCACAAAGCATCATACAGCCGACAGCATCCACACAGGCAAAGTGGACTGAAGGAATGCTGAACCCCGAAGTCCTTCTTGAGCTTCAGCCAGTTGAGTGACCTCTTGGACGGCTCGTACGTTGCATTCTCGGTGAGGGTCTTGAGCATCAAACCCTGGGCTATCGCACTTCCGAAACTTGACGCAGGACAAAGACGCATGGCAAGTCCGATAGCAGCCTCGCACGAGCCCGCAATGGATTCGTCCAAAAAGGCCTGCCGAGTCGAGACGGTCCACGTCCGAGAACGATGGACGGAAGCACAAGCCAGTGCGGGCATACAAAGGCCTGAATTTCCTCCTCGTTGATATCGCTGAAATTTCGATAAACTGCAAAGGTAACCTCCATCGAACAACATTGCGGCAGACACACACCAACACGTGGGCCCAGACACACGATATTACGGCCTTGCCCTCCGAAGGCCACAGGATCTTCCACAGCTTGTCTCTTCGTACTTCCAAGGGCTCCTGCTCCAGCATTCCAAGGCTGTTTCAGGCGTTTCAGAGTGTACAAACTTACAGAGATCTGGCTACAAAGGTAGCTCTGCAAGCTGCTGCTACTGCTAATTCTAGAATTGTGAGCGAGAGAACGACAGAAGCTATAAGACAGCATTGACATGCGAACATCACGACCACTGCATGAATTCAAGGTCTGTGCTGAGACAAGCTTGGTCGTCGAGCTTCGCGAGTACAGAAAACAAAGGATAGACTTGCTTGTGCAGTTCATCTCCCTGATGAGTCACACGGCTTCCTTGACAAGAGGTTGCCCGTTGATCAGCATGCAGTCGAAGGCAAAGAGACACACATTCACCTGGCAACATATTCAGGGAGATGGGTGCCGCGGGCCGTGCGCTAGTCAACAGGATCAAACGTAGTTTGTTGTCATGTATTGACCAGGAACATCATATTGTAACTCCTGCAGGCTCGAGCGCCTTGATGTCCTCCACCGTGATGTTTTTGCGACCTCTTGTTGTCAGAACCTTGCGGAAGTGTCAGCGGAGAACAGGACCCTGTCGTCATCACTACTTGCCATAGCGAAGTAAGCTAGTCAGAGCAGATGACGCAATATGACGAAATACAAGCTACTTTCGCTATGCCCAGGCAGAATCCTCCCCCCCCCCCCCCCCCGCCCCCCCGCTCGACTCTTCCCAAGACTGGTTCTTATGTGTGGTTGAGCCAATACATGGCAGGAGATGATCATGCTTTTCTCGTTCTGCCCGCTGCTAATTAGAAGGGTAAAAGGATGTAGAAGGTTTTGTCTAATTTCTTCTGTGCAGCACTTACGCTTTATAACCGGTTGGATAATACAAATGATTATAAACACTAATATATGCCCCATCAGCGCCACAAAAATAGGCAGACCAACGCGACGCCGTACCAACCATAATGGCGAAACACCAAGCGAACCTCAACTACTGAACGCATCAGATAAATACGATCGAAGCCCTCCAACCCTCAAGCAAGGACCGTCAAAACAGAGAAATACGACAGCTTTCAACAAAGAAAACATTAGCTGCCGAGTTACTTTTCCTGCGGGTGCTTCTACGACATATGCAAAGAGAATATCTCTGGATTAAATTTGATTCCGGAACCAAAACAGCTCTCGGGATTCCAAAGGGATGTACCAATTGCTTTCCCCTTCGCAGAACACCGGGAAACTATTATCTCAAAGTCAACTGTTTTGCTTTCCCCTCCGCAACAACGAGAAAACATTTGGCTCGGGAGTTATTCTGTCCTTTAGGACCCAGCATAGGGGCAGCTTACTCAGACCCATACACAACACAAGACAAGAAAATCTCTGGGATCAATTCACTCCAAACATAGGGCATGTGACAAAACCAATTTCTGGATTCAGAAGCGAGGTACCCAGTGCTTGATGAGAAAGCAGTTAACTCAGGAGCGAATTGTTTTTGGTACGAATCCATACAAGACACAAGAACGACCTCCGGTTCAATCGATTCCGGACACAAGACAAAACCTATCTGTGGATTCTGATGAAGGCCGGGGTGCCAATTGCTTGCTCCTTCGCAGAATGCCTACTTGTAGAAAGTAATTCTCTCAAGAGCTCATGGTTTTGCTTCCTCTGCGGAACAATAAACTCGGGTTTTCCGCCCCATGCCTGGAACACTTATAGCTCGGGCCTGAATTGTAATTGCTCCCGTTCTCGGGGTATGACCCGCCCCCAACCCCCCCCCCCCCCACGGACAATCAGCTCGGGAGTTAAACCTTGTGACTCTTGTTTCCATTGTCTTCCCTAGACCTTAACAACACGAACAAACCAGAGATGGTGCTGCTTGAATGTCCTTGTCTGGCGTGCGAAATTGATCCGCGGATTTTGTCTGGAGCAGCTCTGAATTCACTTGCTCTGAGCTTCAATCCGAGGCCTACCACAAACTTCCGGATGCAACTTTCCACTTGCCCTTTTGGTTCGATGGATGTTCTTCAGGAGCCCGTCAAAGTGATTCCAGCGATGTCTTCTCGCAGGTAGGGTCAGCGGCGAAAGGATTTCAATGCGGTGAGTTTCGAGTTCATCCTTTAGAGTGGTAGTCGCTCCAGCTCTCAGCCGAGCTTCTCAGCCGTTTTATAAGTTGCTTGCGCAGCTGCTCTGCCTTGTTTGTTCAGGAGTTGCGCTCTGTCGGTGCTGGAAAATTGAGACAGAACCATATGAACCATGTCTGGAACGGCCTGGAAAGGCAAGATCTTTTTGTTCACCTGGTCGAAAGCAACCAGCTCGCTGTCGATGATACAGCTGTGAACATCCTGCAATCAGCGGCAAAGTCTGCAAGCAATCGGCGCCAATGCTGGAGATGCCAGGCATATCAACCGGCCCTGGGCAAACCTACGCATGACCTTTGCATTCAATGCTGGTTGCTTAACGGCTTCATGTCCTTGAGCCGCTTGTGCCTGTGGAGTTCCCTAACCCTGGAGCCTAAACCCTGAAAACCACTTAGGGTTTTCCTGTTTAGGATTTTCAGTCGGGGCTGGTCAGGATTCAGTGCGAAAGATATTGAAGACGGGAGTGGGGTGCCTTGGACACTTAACGCCCATTCTGCGCGTGTCGTTGTTTTCTGAACTTGTTCCCGAAAACATTGTGGGTTATTGGTTTCTCCTTCGGCGCTTCAACGCGGAAGCGTGCTGTCGGATCGCGTTCTGACGGAAGAGGCCATGAAGACGAGACAATCAACGCAATAGGGAGGAGGGTCGGACGGAATGACTTCTGACGGGAAGCCGCGGAGAGGACACCGTCAAGAAAAAGGTGTCGGAACATTTTGATGGGAGAGGGGCGTGGACCATGAGGGAAGCGCGATGTGCGGTTGAGGCAAGGGTTCGACGGGGCGAGGACAAGGGGGGGAGCCGGACGAGGAGCGTGACATTCTTTCATGGCGGGGTACGCGTGGACAAGGGCTTCAGAGCACGATATATCCGGTTAACGGGGAGGGTGTTGTAGGGGGGGAGGGTGATAGCCAGTTGATGGCTCTGAACGCCGTCCGCACCCTGCGCCCTCCTCGCCCTCCGCACCTCCGCGCCGCGTGCGCTCCGCGCCCTCCAGGGCCTCCCCAGCGCCCTCCGTGCTCTTCGCGCCCTCCATGCGCGTTGCGTCCATTCCGCGGGCGTTTCCGTCAACACAAACTGTTTTAAGAAGGCACGCACGTGCAGCACATCCTCTAAGTGTCCTTCTTACGTGGGGGGGACGGGGCTCTTCTGCAAGGGGCAAACACCTTCAAAACCAGGATCCAGGTCCGTGCAGTCGTGCAAGGAGCCTTTCTCTAGTCAGGTGAGTGAACTAAGCCGGCGTTGTCAAACATAGCCCAGTGTTGGGCAGCTCCTCTGCGAGCGACTGCTTGACCACCTTTCAGCAACAAAGAGTTTCAAGCATGTTCGTTCCAACATCATACAACGGTCACAAAAAAAAACAGAGTCGGCCTCGATGACATCCGGATACTTTTCTGTCATGTTCTCAGAGTTCCGGCTGTAGATCTGCGCAACAGCGCGAACTCGTCCCATGTTTCAAAAACACTCCTGACATTGAGCATTGCAAGCATTGTGTCCACTGCGTCATCTCAGACAGCCTGGATAACATCCCTGGAGAGGACGTGGATTTGTGCTCGCTCGCCATCGTACTTCCACTCACCAGTAAACCGTTTGCCCGCCAGTCTTTCACCGACCTGGCAGGTTGAAGCTGCCTTGTGCAAGCTACAAGACGGGGATGCTACTCAGATGAGACGTTCCACTCAGCATTATCTAGTTTGCTGATGTTGTGGTTGCTGCCATTGTTGGCAGCGGCCCGTTTGCAAAGAGCAGCAGCGCGCCTCGGCTATGCCTTTGGAAGGCTTTGCCAGCCTTAGCGTACTCGGACTGGCTCATATTATGGCATTTACAATGAATTAAGTATACTGTCTTGATCGGCAATTGAAAGGCCTCTGGAAATCAATGCGTAATGACAACAAGAGCATCTGAATAGCCACAGGCCGCGGCATCGGCTTGACAGGAACACCAACAGAGATGCGGCACACTTCCAGCAAGGAGCTTCCTAAGCGTGCTGAATAAAACCTGAGAGAGACAATGGAACTCCGGTGTAAACATCCTGCAATTAAGACGGCTGGCCATCGCGGCCCTCCATCAAAGCTCCAATCAGCTTGTCCTGACGATCAGCACTGTAGTGACAATGGTGACAATGTAGTGGAACTGGTGACAATTGGTGACAGCTGCCACATCCCTGGGGAGCCCGGCGAAGTTCGGCAGCTCACTGAAGGCCTTCAGTTGACCATAGACAAAAAAACAAAGCCCACTCCAATGCGACACTCAAAACATCGTTCCCTTACATAGCAATTTCAGGAGTGTTCCTGACTGAGGATATTGGAGCCTTTTGGGAACCCGAAGCTCCGCAACGGCAACACTATAATACGAATGACTCCGTAGAAGCGGGCGTGTCCCAGCTCTGGGTATTTGATTAGACTCCTGCTGATGATAGTGTTATCAGGATGCACTCGGCGCTCCGGAAGGCATGTCATCTTGCTGGTGTATTGACATGAGTATGCTGTCCTGTGCTGGCATGCCCTGTGCTGGCATGCCAGCACTATCCCAGAGCTCTCTGACCTACAACAAGGTCTACGAACAGCTCGCCGAGCCGAGCCAACATGACACCACAAGGCGCACGGAGCAGTGTGCAGCACACGGTGCAGCCCGCGATGCAGGTTAGGTCCGGTGCCTGTCGCACTGCTGCCTCCATGACAATCATCTGCGGCTCCAGTTCTGCTGCAGACAACTTTGCCTGCAAACACACCATCACACAACATCCACTTTTTGAAACCTTTTGAGCTCAACCTCGAGACCGTGTTCAACCGAGTCGTGTGCCTGGCCCTTTCTCCTGTCTGTGACCGCGGCGGGTCCACTGGGCTGGCCAGGCTTCGTGAGCGTGAAAGCATAGGCCAAAGCCTGGCAGTCCGGCGGTTAGTGTGTGGCATAACGATGTGTCGATGCTTCGGTCAGTCGAGCCTGCAGGAGGGTCGGGATTTGAATTCCAATTCGCAGCTTCGCCTTGGTCCAAACTGCTGGGTCGAACGGAGAATGCAGGATCATGCAAATTAACTACCACATGGGTCACAAGGCATCGCTCAGGTCAAGCAAGAGCTAGCAAGATCTCGTTACAGCAATTTCAAGGCGCATGCCGCCACCTCAGTCGTTGGAGGGATTGCGCATCTCGGGCTTGGCACGCTTGTCGCTTGGCACGCTTGTCTTTACCAGTTAAGTGCTTGTGTGGGTTGGCAATGGAAAGTTCGAAACCACTGCTTTTGTGCAACTCTCAAGCAACCCTCAAGCTGCATTTCATAGCGTCGGCCGAAGGCCGAAGGCCGAAGGGCGGCATGTCCCGCATTGTCCCGCATGGTGAGAAACTGCTTCGTCGGTTCAGTTCTCATCCCCACAGTGCATTGCATGCTCAGCCTAAACACGCTGCTCTGCCATGAGCTCTTGTTGGAAAGATCAAGAAAACGATTCACAGCAAAATCTCAGTGCCCAGCTTGCAACATCCGGACGATGAACTTTGCCTTCCAGGGAAACGGCAAAAAACATGTACAGACTTTACAGGCACATCAAGCAGGGGTCGACATGTACTCGACACTCTGCCGAGGCGAGAGGGTTCGTCCCCGTCAAGGGTCTCTGTCCAAGTTTCGACTTGCTCTTTCAAGACACCCTTGGGTTCTTGCTTGGAGGTCTAGGGCTCAGGGTTTGCAAGTTTCAGGTTCAGGGCTTTGTGTTTAGAGCTTGGGGAGTCTGAAACCGGAGCTTGCACGCGGCATGTGGGCCACAACAAGCAAGCCATACTGCACCTGAAGAAAATCGAGCCGACAATTGGGAGTCTGCCCCTAGTCGGCGCCTCGAGGTCTGACTCCCTACCCTCCACTGCCCTGACACAACGTCCGTTGAAGCGCCGAGAGCAATGCCTCTTCCCCTCTGGAGGCCACCAGAAGCTTCTGAATTTTCTCCTGCAAGCGGACTAACTAGACTACAGCGGTTTGCAAGTTGCCATCGCCGAGCCTTGCTACGTATGCTTTACCAGGGACATGCATTCATCGGTTTGCTGCAGTATGTCCTTCTTTGCCTTCTGCGACTCTTTGCCTGCTGAGTGAGCAATTGCTTTCATTTCGCTGAAGACCTGCACTGGAGGACGAGATTGTTTCAGTACATCTTGGTTTGGCAGAGATTGCAGCAGAGCCTTCGCAATCGTGAGCTTTGGTGGCATCATGAGCATCTTCTGCGACCTATGCTGCTCTAGTGCGAAGTGTCTTGCCGAGATGTGCCGAAGCCTGTGCAAGTGAAGCCTGGACAGAACTTCGACTAGAAGTGTGGTGCCTGCATCCTCTGGCCACCACGGTGTTGTGAAACGCGCACAAAGTAGAGGGTGTTTTTGACAGCGTGTGGGAGCGCGGGCGCTCTCTGAGTTGCTCTACAACTCTACAAACTACAGCAGCTACTGGGTCACCTCACCATCTTGTGTGGGAGCGGGGCAGCATCTGCAACGGTGAATGGCATGATCACAGCCTCACAGCTTGGCTTGCCGTCTGGCAACAGACCTGAACTGCGGACACAGCACTTTGAATGCCCGAGCCACCGAACAACAACGGCTTGCAGGAAATGGAGGTGTCCCTCACCAAACGAAACGCAAATAAATTGAGGCAGCGCACTCCTGTGGCAGTGGGGCTACCGTGGATGAGGCAGAGCCACCTCACTCAAAAGCAAGCTCGGTCTAAGGATGACGAGGACAACTAAGACCAAAAACACTTCCTGCATCCAAGGCACTGTTGACACGGAACACAAATCTGTCTGGGTCCGATTCACGGAACTTGAGGAGCCAAGTGATACCATCCTGCATCCAAGAACTTAACCGCTGCATTGTGAAGAACGTTCGAGTACAAACTGAGTACAAAACAATGCAAAAGGGGCTCCAGGCCTGCAAGCGTTGCTTTGTTTCGTCTCGCAAGCTGCGCAAAAGAGCGCCATTGTCTTCCTGGCCCTGCAGCTGCGCTGTACGCAGCACAGGCATGATGCGGAAGTAGACCTTGCAGGGCCACATGGGATCTTACACTGACCAGGCTGACCAGAGTCTGATGCACAATGCAACGCAGGCAAGCACATCTGCTCGCGAACTTGCCTTCTGGGCCTTGGCAAGACTCATGCCAGATGCCACTAGAAGCTAAGGAGACGAGGCTGCGACATATAGTACTATGTACTGATCATACTCTCGCCAATTTGGGTCAAGCTACCAGCCCCGGCTTTGGCATCACGACAGGAAATCGCGCTCCCTCTTCGAAGGCTTTCGAACTGCTCTCTGGAGGCTTGAGCATCCTTCGAGTGAGACTCAGAGCTTCACTTGCTCTGAGACATGCTCTGACATGCTCTGACTGCTCTGAAGCTCAAGCTGCAAATCCTCCAACACCCGCAACTTTGACACACTGCGCTGGTATGGAGACTCTCGCAGCTTACCCGCCGTGTATTCGTTAAGACCCATTTAAACCCTAATCCGCCCGCACCACCCTCACTGTCGCGCCGCCTCTTCCCGCACTCGGGCCCTGCCGTGTCGTTTGGGCCCTTGCACGTGTCCTTTGGGCTCCGCCGCCCCCCCCCCCCCCCCCCCCCCCCCCCCCCCCCCCCCCCCCCCCCCCCCCCCCCCCCCCCCCCCCCCCCCCCCCCCCCCCGCGCCCCCAACCCCTAAACCCGCCCTGTGACCGCATGGAACTACCTTGAGAACGAGAAGACTTCGCTGCCCAACAGGCCAGCCATTCATCCAAGAGTCCCTCCGGCGGTCAGGACATCCCGGATGGGAACATCATAAACAGGTTGAACAATGTCCTCTGTCCCAACTGTTGCGATGGGAACGATGGTGTAGCCGTGCCGAACTGCCATTCGGACAAACCCAAGGGTGCTTTCACCTTTGGGTCGGCTGAAGCAAGAAGTATAAGAAGTCAAGAGACAAACAGGACAACAGCGGAAGGTCACGAGTATGCTCACATTCTGCAACAGTGGCAAGTGCATGTAAGTAGCCCCAAAGAATATCGTAGGGTTTGTCTGTGGTTCTCTTCCAGGCTTCGCGTGCACCACCTGGATAGACAAGCAAGCAGCAGCCCTGCTCCATCAGCAAATCACCTTGGAACACAACTGCAGCTGTAAGGTCTAGTCTAGTGTTGGGGTCTGGGGTGAGGGTGTAGATCAGGTCTTGGAGGGAGGGGCGGAGGTACATTTAAATCCAAAAGTTCCTCAGGCAGGCGTCAGTTGCGGCGCGTGCCGTCCACTGCACCAATCGAATACATGAGCTCGCCAATTATTGGAACGGAGAACCAAGCATGCTCCCCGAGAGGTCGAGGCCAAATATCAGCCCTTGTCCAGGCAACTGATCAGTGCATATGCCCTATGACTGCCTTTACAAAAGCCGTGACAGATTTGCCAAGGAGCTCAGTGTATAGACAGTAGATCAGGAGTGGTACCTTAGTGCATGTGGCTTATAACTTGCAGGAGTCGCATAGTATCCTTAGCCTTGCTTGTCGCACAGTGTTGCGCAAGGCTTAGTGTTGCATGCAGCTGCGAGGCGTCGATACCCAAAATAGCATGGTTTCCAACAAAGAGCAGTCGCCTTCTGTCGGCGCCAAGCTCATCTGCACCAAACAAGTGCGGAGGACTCATCTTCCGCTGCGGCCAGAAGAGAGCTTGTAACATCTTCTGCAGCGTGCTCCCTTTTTCAGGTGGCTCGAAAGCCAGCAAGTCTCGATCCTGCGCAGATTCCTCTAGAGCGATGAAAGGCCTCGGATCCCCTCGAATAAGTTCGAACAAGCGGGCCGTGCAATACGTCAAGATTCCATTCAACACAGCGAGCGCCCTCCAGCGGCGGACGGTCGCAGCATCCAAAGTCTGCGTCCCCTTAAAGTGCTGGACCGCAGCGCTTGCCATGCCCACCAGACCTAGACAAATAAATGGGGAAAGGCGCAAGTAAAGCCTGAACAAATTGGCACGCGATGCCCATTTTAGGAACAACACTTTGGTGCCAAAGCCATATGAGATGGGCATTGTATACAGGACCAGAAGGCCAAGCTTGTATCCCAGGAACCCCACCAGCAGCATATCCATGTTATTGTTGATGAACTGGAAGATTCGATCGTGTCTTTCCGGACTGAGGGTTGGCTGAGATGGTTCGGACGGCTCCGATTGACCTTCCGCAACGTGCACCTGTTGGACTTGTCGGGATGGCTCCAGCGATGTCATCGTCTCCTCCAAAGCTGTCTCGAAATCTCCCCGCAGTCCACGTCTAGGCTTCAGCTGTCGCAGTCGTTCAAGAGTTCCAGCTGACATGTCTCGGATCATGCTTGAACCTTTTGCGACAGCATCCGTGATCGCACGCTGGACTGCCGCTCTGGGCTGCCGAAAACCGAAGACTAGGAGCAACACCCAGATTAAGCCGGCCTGGATACCGCTGGACTGCAACTTGTAGATCCATCTTCGCAGATTGGATGCACTGTGCAGGAGGATCTTCTGGTGATCTTCGTGCGCAAATAAAGTATCGTAGGTGAAGGCCATGCTTGGCGCGTGTTTGAATGAAGCATCCAAGGTAGCCTGTGCAAACGTGAAGCTGGCTCTCTGCTGGTTTAAGGACTGGCTTGACAGAGGTTGGGTTGTAGAACAGCCGTTGCCGGTCGCTGGTCTCCGCCAATGTTATCGCTGTATTCTATGCGGATTTTACACTGTACTAAATTATCACTTCGCAGCGTGGCTCCTGCGATTCTACTTGGGCCACCCTGCTTCAACATGCTGCAATGCAACGCACTGCTACTGGAACTTGCGATGCCAGTACCGAAACCCATCGTCTTACTAAACCACTCTTCGGAGGACTGCAAGATGCAGGGCATGTCAACAACCTGAAGTGGCAATCATGCGGCCCCACCGGGGCCCTACGACCCCGAACCATGCTCAAATGAACTCCAGCCACCTCATGCCACATCCACGGTCATGGAGTCATGGAGTCATGCATGTATTGACTTTCTGTCAACTTCACAGTGTCGAGGTCAGGGCATGCGGCTCTGCAACGCTACCTCACCGAGGTCCTGACAGTACGTGAACTATTGGATAATGCTGGCAAGTGAGCGCGATTGAACCTATTGCTTTAAACTGCTTTATTAAGCCTTTTTATGCGCTGTGCACCTTGGCCTCCCCGGATGCCAGAGAATGCTTGATGGTGGCCTCTGACCTTGTTGAAGCGAGTACTGTGGCCACACAGCATGCAATATTCTGAAGCATGTCATCGATATTATCTAATCTAACAGTTGCCTCGCTGGTGTAGGTTAAACGGTTCAAGTGAAGGGCGCTTTGGATTACGGCTTTGGCTTGCGTGGCTTCTTAAGCAGGATTTTGTCCGGGCGGGAATGTTGGGTCTTAGAAGCCGGCGAAGAGCAGTGGAGGCTCGTTGAGGCTTTTCAGGTTTTGGAGGGTCATGGTGCCGGGGCTTGGCTTTGATAACCGTGCACACAAGCAACTTCGAAGAGCCCCATAGCCTAGACCGTTTGAGGCAAATAGCGGAGAAACAGATCATCAGAGATACCGCAGACGGACTCAGTTTCTCTGAGGCGCGAACCTACCAAAATTTTCACAAAGGGCTTTGATGATGATGGAATCACCAACGCCTAGTTCAGCTGCTTCGTAATCTGGAGCGACCTCCGCCAACTTCTTCCAAGCAAGCGAGAGCTTGCTCCAATACGTAAAGCCCACGCACGGAAACAGCAAGCGGGCCTTGTTGATGAGAATGTAAACTGCCGCAATGATGTCCTGAAGCTGTTAGAGAATCTCGTGCAATCTTCCTTTTTGCGCAAGGTCTACAAATTGTAAGGATCATTTGGTTGCCACACCCCGGAAACAAACAGTTGAAACTAACATCATGGACATCTGTTTGACATGGAGCGCATGCTTTTTTGGGGTTGGGGTAATATCTTTGGTATGCATATGTTGGCCCAGATAGGCCAGCTGTGTTCCACCACGCGGTTTTGAAGCATAACTGCAGGCTAGCATAATGGCATCGCGGCAATCAGCCAATGCACCCTGGCCTGTGGCTGCACATGCATCAGCAGCCGAAACAAGTTGCTCAGGATGACCTCAGAGGTGCAAACGATGCGAGTACGAAGCGGTTTGCAAACTTCATCTTCATTCAGTCTCTGCGGACATGATACAGTCATCGTCTTGCGCGAACCCTTGCCGCTTCCTTTCAGCTCCTTGAAGCATTGCACTGGCAATGCAGAACTTGCAAACATGGCACGGACCACGGAAGTTCGCGTCCTCTATCTCCAGCAAGGCTCCCGAAAGCAAGGAGAAGCTGACCGGCTTCCCAACAGGGAACCTGCCACGAGCTCGGCTTCAGGAACCCTCGCATCACATGCATCACATGCAGGAGCAGCTCTGCTTCTCGAAGCTTGGGATCGAAAGCCGGACATTGTAACTCCTGTTTCAGTACAGGAAGAAGATTGGCTCCATCGGGACAGCTAGAAGAAGAAGGTGCAGGGCATCCTTCGCGTCCTTGCCAGCGGATCCGCCATGCCAGAGCGACCATGGACCGGTTTCCTCAACGCAACTCGAGCACATTCAAAATTTAACCATAATGCAGCTTATATACACAAAAACAAAAATCACAAACAAGACATGTTTTCAACTCATCTATATCTATGTCTAAGTAAACTGATATCCATTTTTGTGCTTATGCTCCATGAGACATTGTTGTTCTATTCGTACATACTCGTGCTCATGACGGATTCGCTAGGACATTCACTTTCGTTCCCGCTCGTCTGATATTGATGCATTCACAATCCGTATGTCTGATCAAGGGTGGAGCTGCAGCCCATGTCGCCTGCAGCTCTCATTTCCACCGACCCTCAGACCAAATTTCACGTCTCAGACGTCACGGGTGGGAGTGGTGGGTTTTCGAAAAGATCTCGGGCCACAATGCTACGCGACCGTGGCTTCGATCGACCGGACCCTGCGCACAATTTGTGCTACTCAACAAAAAAGCCAGCCTCACACTGTCTGCAGGTCAAACTATACGCACAGTATTCAGACACAGGTAACTTTGAATTCTGCAAGCCAGGATTGAAAATCATCCTCAGGATTGAGCTTCAGTCTGGTCCCGGATCGATGAGGTTCAAGAGTCCAGGAAGTTTTGAGATCATGGATCCCGGCACCCCGGGCCCGCAACCTTTGCATAAACGCATGCTCGCCGCTGGTGTATAGCTGATTGCTAAACCGCCGATCACACCTGCAAGCCATCAGACTAGCCCCCCGCCACTCCGCTGGCCCGCCAATCCAAGCGCAGGTCCCAAAAGTGCCTCGAAATTTGGGGGCTTCCCTCCACACCCCATGGCCCGGTTTAATCAAAACGCGCCGAATCTCAATTGTCCTGCTCTGGTGCTTGGGGTACTTTTGATTTGATGCATGTTTGCTTCTACACACACCTAGGAACAATCCAGAAGAATGCCGCGGATACTCAAATCAGCATTCTGGGTTTCGACAATCCAAGAATGCTGAGCACTATGAAACAGAATTCTTAGGTCCCACCGAGAAAATTGAGAAAAACACATATTAGGAAACAAAGAAAAGGACATCATAGTCATAGTCATAAAAGCCTGAACAGTATTGGACAATGCTCATGACATGAACCGCCAAGAAGTCGAAAACGACAAAGACCAGAAGGGGGCACTGCGTATGTACGTACGTATGTACACATGTATGTACACATGTATGTACGCATGTATGTACGCGAGTATGTACGCGAGTATGATGTGGGTATATGTATACTATACCGAGATACAGAAGAAGCTGGCGCCGCTTAAGGCCACAGGAATGGCTTCCAGCTTCGTCCGAAACAAACAGTTTCCACACCAACTATGAGGCCAGCACTCCCGAGTGAAGTGTCACCTCTGGTACCTTCCTGGGTGCATCCAAGCTGGGTTTCAAGAAGAACTCAACTCACCATCTTGGCGCCCGGCTCCAGCACTTTCTCAGGCCTCAGGCGAAACTTCACATCTGCTTCTTCCCTGCTTGCGAAACCTCAAGGATGTTTTGGCCCCTGCTTGGTCGGAGTCGTTTGGGCCACGCCCTTTTCCAGCCGCCTCCGCCTAGGGAGAAGTAGCACTGTGTACTATGCAGCACTGGGTCTCGTGATTCTTGCATCGCTTCTTTCAGACTTCTTCAAGTGAGCGAGGGCTCGGCTTGGCGGGAGCTTCTGGAGTGCCATCTGCCTCAACTGCACACGCGCCAAGCCCAGTCTTCACACGCAGCGTGCCTTCCTCCGCTCCCAGGTTTGATAAGTCTGCCGCGCCATTCGTGGCCACTTGACTTTGCTTGCTGGCAAGCGAGAGACGGATGACATGAAGCTGGCTGCTGTTCAACAAAGTGGCACTCGGTTTGCTTTCCGGGCTTCTTCAATTTCCACTAGTTTGTTGGCTCAGGCACAGAGTTGTACTTTTGTCAGGGCGGGAGTCTGACACTGCCCATCCTTCCGTAGGCTCAGGCTTTAAGGGCCTGGCTTCAACCCTGGACGACATGAAAGCTTCAGGCCCACAGGCGAGGAAGCTTTGAGGCGAGTCTGATAGGCAGCCCACGGGCCACCGTGGTTCATTTTTGCAAGCTTGCTCGGACAGCCGAGGAAGGCGAAGCATGCCCAGGCCGCCCCTTCAGGAAAGCAAGATTTCAAGCCCAAAGGCTTTTGCCTGAAGGCTTCAGGTCCACAGGTCCACAGGACCAATGCCTCATACGGGATCTTGGCCCTTACGGCATTTCAGGCAATCAGTATTGTGTGAGCTGTTGAGATGATGCTGCAACCGGAATCTTGCGGATGCCTGTCCACATCTCCATCTCCGACTTGCACGTCGCTGTCGGACTTCATGGTTTCCATGGCACCACGCATTTGCCGTGCATTGACCTTTCGGATCCTTGCTGCGGCAAGGTGGAGACGCCGCACAGGAGGCCGAGAAGCAGCTGGCCAAATTCGAAGCCACGCCCAGGTGGAGGCACAAACATGACGAGCGATTTCTGTGATGCTACCTTTGTACACACCTTTGGATTGTAAGCCGAGAAGAAACTCCTACAAACAGACAGCACATTCATACCCTGCCTGGGCGGTGTTGTCAGTGTATCGCCTTTCTCCTCGCACAGCTCTCAACAATGACAGCTGATGAGTCACCTTCACAGAAACAAAGGTCAGGCTGTCAGGCCTTTCGTGCGAAGGCGGCTTCGAGACTGCCTTTTCTAGGAGCCATTCTACCTGGGCAGCACAAAGGTCCATGGTCCAACATGGTCCAACATCCTACAGCATCGGTCAACAAAGTGCTGGACGTGTCAGGAACCCTTTGCGCGCTGTGCACGAGCTGGTGCTGACGGGCTGGTTTCATTCCATTCCTCTAGCTCGAAGTTCCAACCGCCACCACCAGTGTCGGACAGAGAAGCGTTGCCAGATGCTGCCGGTGCTTAGAGTCTGTCTTCTTCCCATTGACAAAAGGAGGGAACCTTCTGTCCATTTGCATTCTCCCCCATGATAACCCTGGACTAGTCAGACCTAGACGGATTCATGTCATGATTGAAGAACCGGAAGCTAAGGCAGCGCACCATGCAGCCAAGTAGCACTATGCCTTTTCCCTGTCCAGGTAGGCGCACGCGCGCGCGCCCAGATAAAGCAGTGAGCCAAATACTTCAGTAGTGCGGCAAGGGTGTGCAACATGAAGGGAAGCTAGGGCTAACCGGGCTGACGGTTAACAAAAACGGAAGCACGAAGTGCGGGGCTTTATGAACTTCAGGCCCTTCAGGGTGGCAGGCAGCCTGTTGCAATGCCCACCCGCCAGAGTTTGCCCTAGTTGGGCCTGTGCGCCCCTCTTGTTGCCTGGATTGTCCATCTGGGACCATTGAAACATTGAAACGAAAAAAGACAGCTAATCCATGCGATGGTATCAATGATTCCCACACCCCCATCCGACCAACATGGTGTCAAGGGATGCCCGGCCATCCCTTGATGACCTCCGTGTTCTGATTCAGGGGCACATTAGTGAAGAGAGCCAACATTTGCAGACGCAACATGACGCAACTCTGGCATCTCGGCGCCAGCAGGACCTCAAACAGCTGATTGCACCAGAAGCCTCCGGCATGTCGATGGCCTTGAAGTGAGCGGTTGGAGACCCGCCTATCAACAATGGCTCAGCTGCTCGTCAGACAAGACTTGCCACATCGCATTCCATTCCGGACCTTGCTTTGAAGACGTCACATCACATCTCATGGCCGATGTCTTCCTCCAGGATGATCGTCCTTCCTTCAATAAGCTTGAAGCTGCAAACCTGGATTCCATGCACAAAAGGTGGCCCTGCCTGGAGGCCAACATTCGGTCACCGCAGCATACCAGCAGACGTGTTTGGGCAAAAGTTTGACGAGTGGGTGAAGAACCTTTTCTATCGACCGTTGGCAGACGTGGAAGTTGTTTGCTGATACCTGTGTGCAGGTAACAGGGAGGTCATCAAAGGCCTATATTGCCTATAACTTGATGTCTGTGGCTGTTGCGTAGACATCTCTTGAACAAACAATGCTGCGTTCACGTCACCCCACATGGTCATTCCGTCAAAAAGCATTGCTTAGAAGGATGTAAAGTCACAGATGGCACGCGATTTTGCGATGAGCCGTGAACCACGATCCGCAGTCCCACGTCAGCTTTGCTCATCCTGTCCGGCGCTGAGGGCATGACCTGGCAGTGCGGCTTTTGCCTTCTTGCATATTCGCAAGCTCTCTGCGTTCGGAAACTGGCTGAGACCAAGGCAGTACACCGACAAGTTGTCTGAAAAGTTTTTGCCCGTCTTTGGACATATCGAAGGGTGCTCCTCACAGTCGCGAAAACATTACCTCTGGGGCTTGTGAAATGATGCGATAAAAAAACCATTCTGTGTCGATGCGTGGTACAATAGCTTGCTGAGGGAAAATGCATGTGACAATGTGACAGTGGCTTCACCTCATACCCAATGAAAACATGATCTTGCTGTTGGACGTCGGACCCGCCCAACAGCATAAGTAGACTTAGTAGTGAAGCAGGTCGTTCTGTATAACTGAATTGCTCTTCTCAGGCAACCGAGAATCCGCACCATGGTTTTGTGTTCAGGGGTGCTAAAGCCATGGCCAATAGAGGTTGCCATGTGATTCCACACTCTGAAGTTTTCAAGGTTCGTGAGCAATCGTGATCTGGAAAGTGGACTCGACTTTCCCGGCGACGGGCGGGTCGGAAAAACGACTCGAAAAAAGATGGACCGAGTCAGAAAACGAAAGAGACCGAGTCAGAAAACCGGCCGCGAGAAAGAAAACGGGAAAAAAAGAAACACAAAAGCCCGAGTCAACCTTAAACCCTGAAACGAAGATATACAAAGGTACCATTGTAAAGATGAACAGGTTTATACATAATATCCGCCGAGCCTCCTGCAGGGGGAGGCATTTGTGAAAAACTGTTGAGTCTTCAGAGTTTAAAACAGAGTCTTCAGAGTGTAAAATCCACACCGCCCCACCGCCCCACCGCCCCACTTGCAGCGTATTCAAAGTATTTCAAGGGCTCCGACGCAGGCACAACCCACACCGCCCCACTGCCCATATGACTCTTAACCCCCCCGCGGACTCAGCGTATTCAGGGTATTTCAAGGGCTCCGACGCATGCTCAACCGCCCCACCGCCCCACCGCCCCACCGCCCCACCGCCCCACCGCCCCACCGCCCCACCGCGCCACCGCGCCACCGCCCCACCGCCCCACCGCCCACATGACCCCTCAGGCCCACACCGCCCCATTGCCTATATGACTCTCAACCCCCCCCCCCCGGACTCAGTGCATTCAGAGTATTTCAAGGGTTCAGAGTTTTTCAAGGGCTCCGACGCATGCCCAACCCACACCGCCCCCACTGCCCACATGACCCCTCCCCCCCGCTCTTGCTTACCCCCACTTGCTGCCCAACCCACATGCACCCGTTGCCCACGTGACTCCCCCCCCGCCGGACTCAGCGTATTCAGAGTATTTCAAGGTCTCCGACGCATGCCCAACCCACACCGACACACCGGCCCGCTGGTCACATGACCCCTCCCCGGGCTCCGTTCCTCGCCCTATAAGCCCCCAGGCCCCCCCCCCCCTCCCCCTGGAGCCCCTCTTCCGGAAATAGTGACGCCGCTGATGCTCATGATGCTCGCCGCGCCCCCCCAAATGGCGTTTCCTGCTTTGGAATGTTTTTGAAGGTGCTCGCGTCCCCGCCCCATGTGGGCGGTGGGGTCGGGATGCCTCTGTCGTTGGAGGTTGCCTTTTTTCCGGCTCGTGCGGCTTGTCTTGTCCGCGCCGCACGCGGGCGGGGCTTTGCCCCTCAAAATAAAGCTGAGATACACATGATGCCGACCCGCCCCCCCCCACACCACCCCCACCCCCCACGCCCCACCCCCACCCCCCACTCCCCACCCCCCACCCCACCCCCCCGCGTAGCAATGGTTCTCCCCCCCCCGTGACGTGGTGGGGTTGAGTTTAGGGTCTAAGGTTTAGGGTCCCCCGGGGGGGGGTACACCGTGGGGGGAGGGGGGGGGTTACGGCCCCTCGTAAAAACCTTAAACTTTCTGTAAAAACTATACGCTGTAAAACCCTACTCCCTGAAGCCCTACGTCCTACAACCCTAAAACAACACCAGAGCTGTAAACCAGAAGCCCTGAACCCTATACCCGAAAACCGCCCAACAGCCACACCAGAGAGGGGGGGGGGTACTCAGGTACTTGATCATGAGCGTAAACCCTACAACGTAAACCCTAAAACCCTAAAACCCTCAAGGCCTCAAACGCTAAAACCCTACCACCCTAAAACCCTAAACCCTAAAAAACTCACCCCTACAACCCCAAATTCCAAAATCCCTGGAACCCTAAGCCCCAAACCCTAGAAACAAACCCACAGCCGCACCACAGGGGCAACCCCTGCAACACTAAACGCTAATACCCTGAAGTTTGCCAAACCTCCAAAACCCTCGGCCCTAAACCCTAAAACCCGAATTCCCTCAAACCCTAAAAAAACCCTGCCACCCTATAACGTATAACCCTCACCCAGGTTCTCTTTAAGCTGGTTGGGCGGTGTAAAGAAGCCGCTGAATATTCAGAACCAAATGTGCCCCGGGAGTTTAATCCTCTTTGTGGACGTCGACAAAGTGTGTATAGGGCCGAGTTGGTAGCTGTCATTGTAGCTGCCAAGCTTGCTAAATCGGCAGTGGTTAAAGGTGTGGTTCGTTTGCAGCATTTTGAATTGGCACACAAATCCTGGATACACCGCAAGATCGTGATCTCTGGTTTGGGCTATGGGGCCTATTTAAAAACGGTTTTCTAGTATGCTGGGTGAAAGCCAATCGAAGGCTGTGTGATTCTACCGGATTTCATAACCTCTGGTGCATCTGGCAGAATAGTATGGCTGATTCTGGCGTCGGTTGCAGCGTATTCATGTCCAGCTGAAGTTGCATCGGCGCAAGCTCCTTTCGAAGCTTCCGTACGATCAATGCGGGCTATCCGCTCTGCTTCCAGCGAACTCGTGAGGGAACTTTGGGACTTTTATGAAGGCTGTTGAGTATTTCTATTTTTCTCATTCCATCTCCGAATGCTCGCTCAATTCAAAATTGAGGCTGTCTCACGAGTGATCTGGAACAGTTCTCATTGCCAATCGCACGCCTAACCCCTAACCCGTAAAACTCTAAAACCCTAAGCCTAAACCCCTGAATCCTAAAACCATAGACCCTAAAACCCTACAACCCTTTGCCCTAAACCCTAAAACCAAAAACCCCAAACCCTAAACCATAAACCCTTCATATACATTTGAAGTTATTGCTAGTTACTAACAAACCCTAAGGCTTAAAGGCCTAAACCCCAAAAACCCTAAGCCCTGAAACCCAATTATTTTACTTCGAACATCCCCACCCTCTCTTGATAGAGATACTCTGGGGTTGGGCACTCCGGGGAGACTCTGGGGCTGGGCACTCCGGGGGTTGGGCACTCCAGCAGGGAGACTCTGGGAGACTCTGGGGTTGGGCACTCCGGAGACACTGGGGTTGGGCACTCGGAGACTCTGGAGTTGGGCACTCCAGGGAGACTCTGGGGTTGGGCACTCCAAGAACACTCTAGAGTTGGGCACTCCAGGGACACTTTGGGGTTGGGCACTCCAGGGATGAGCGAGGAGTAGACTGGGCGAGGAGAAGAGTTCCGGGCGAGGAGAAGAGCTCCGGGCGAGGAGAAGGGTTGAGCTTAAAATCGAACAACCCCACACCGAGGGTGGGGAAAAACCCTACCTAAAAATCAACCCACAACCACACCACAGAGGGGGGCCTGCCAGGGCGCAACCAGAAACATCGTCAGGGATTTTGTTTGTGGTCAGTTCGGGGGGCCACTGCGTTTTCGACTCAAGGCTACTCGGTTTTCGACTCATCACACCTGGGTACATGAACTTGTACACAATGACCCTTAACTGCATACACTTGTATTAATGCCCCTCATGCCTCAAGGCAACATCAAACACTTCCGGTTCCATCCTCGGTCTGTGGCCCCTCATCTGGAAATCCGGACATCCCTACATTGTCCCTACATGCAACTTCGGAAGACAAGCTCATAGAAGCTCTACATCCCAAAACTGGCAGATGTGCCGTCGAGAGTCGAAAGCACTTTTGCGTCGAAGCGCGTCGCGCTCTCGGGCTGCACAGTCCGCCGAAAATTGGGCTGGCGCACCCCTCCCCGGCGGACTGACCGGCGGCTCGTTGGGTTGGTGGTGGGCGGAAAAGCCCACAAAACGGGTGGCTTGGAGCGAGGAATGCTTCGGCGGTCGTCGCTCTACTTGTGCCTGCACACATGAAAACTGCAGAAAGCACTTTTGCAACGAAGCGCATCGGGCGCTCAAGCTGCGGCGAAATCGATGTCCGCTCGAGGTCCACCCAGGTCCACCCGGCGGCAACGGCGCACGAGAGGTCGTCCCTGGAGACGACGTCGGGGACATTGTCCTCGATCGAGGCCAGTACCCAGGAGCGAGGGAACTCGTTAGGACCTGCAAGGCGTCGAAACCTTGCGTGAACTTCGCCAACATGGTCCAAAGGCTGAGCGTTCACAGCAAACTTGGAGTTGAAAATTGTCAAAGTTTGGCATTGAGGCGTGAGTCTCAAGTTGCACGTGCATAAGGGCAGCGATGGCCCAGCATTGGGCCGGCGGGACGCACGCAAATTGGCTTGTTGCGCGATTTTCGGGCAACATGCGAGATGCTGGGAGAATCTGGGGGGACGTGACTTCGGAAGGGCTTAGCAAGATACCGTGGCCTGATGGGGCAGCAGGTTCAAATAGCTCAAGCTGTACGTACTCTCGCTGCCGGCCAAGAGCCTGCCTGCAGTCGACTCATGCTGTCCATCTCGGATTTGGCTCCGGCTCCCTAATGCCTGCCGGACGTCATGCATTGCCTCAAAGTTCACGCGCATGCGCATACCTGCCCGTGAACTTGCGCATGCACCTGCTTCCGACCCTAAGACAGCCTGTCCTAAACACAGCATTAAGAAGCCTTCAAAAGAATTGACCTAGATTGCCGCCAGTACTGGGTAGTCTGTAAAGGGGGCGTATGCCCTCGTCTGAAACAGCACAACTTGCACTGCGTTGCTCATGTGACATGTGATCTGCGACACTGCGTCCTTGCAGGTAAAATGCACGCAGGTCTCGTTGGGGTAAGCAACGAATGCTTTTCCGACGGAGTCCTCAAGGCAAACAAATCATTAGTCTTGTATACGATGCCAAAGCGGCATGAGCACAAGAGCGGTCCTTGTCAACGAAACGCTTGTTACACACCGGACAACACCTGTCGAGTGTAATGTTCACCTGGCCATCGCGGAAAGGATGAAGATGATGTCTCTTCGAAGATGGCTTGAAGAACCGGCCTTTCTCATGCGTTCCTTCGCCCAGGCGCTGAATGTCTTCAGGTAGGCCATGGAACTCAGGTTCTCTTCCAGCATGCCTCAGCTTCCCGCACTTCACTGCTCTCGCATGCGCTTGTACGAGCAAACCCGAATGCTGAGCAAGTTCTACTGCGCTCAGCATGTGGCTGGCCCGCTGCCTATGCAAGCAGATGCGGGCGCACTTGCTGAGGTAGTCCGAGATGCCCTCGAGAGACGGCACTCACAGCTCGACACATCGGAACAAATCGCAACAATCTGCGACACGTTGCGGAGCAGCAGCAGCCTCTTGCTAGGCGGGTCCAACTCAAAAAAGGGTGGCAACAGGAAGCCGGCAATGCCTCGAGGGGCCAATGGGCCGGCAAGCATCCCAGAACCTGTCTCATGATCGCAAAGGGCGTCTACATAGAGTCTACATGCCGGCAGTGAAAGCAGTGCCCAGGCAGTGCCTCATTAGGCGGCAAGTCTCGATGGGCAGCGTAGCCCATGAGCAAAGAGAGCACTGCATCCCGATACTCTGTAGCCACCTGATGAGAGATGGTCTGGCTGTTGACAAGTTGAGCTCTTAAGGCGAACAGATGTTGAACGATTGCAGTGAGGGGGCCGCTTTCTTGTGCTCTTCAGGCTTTTCAGCAGCTGCCTCATGGGCTTCCAGCCTGAGCATAGATTCAGAGAGCTACTGCAGAGTAGCGTATGGCAATCTGACACTGCTGGGACATGTGGGTCCAGCTCTGACTCTGTTTAGGCCGCGCACAAGATTTGCAGGAAGAGCATCAGAGGCCGTGCTCTTTGTGCTCTTTCAGCATGATCTCTCGCCTTCCATGCGGTTCTGTTCTCGAATGGTGAGGCTCAGTCCACAAAACTCGCTTGTCATTTTCTGAGCCGAGCACTGGTGATGCCAGGTCCTCACCATCAACAAGTTGTACGACCTAGCGACCTAGTGCAAGGAAAGTCCCAGCAAGCCTCGAACCCATCGAGGGCTTTGTCACCAGGGTTGGGCTTCTTTGGCCTGGCTGGCGCCACACGTACGTTGCCAAACGATGCCATACATCAAACGCGTCTGCAGAGCCCAAACACGACTGCACGGGCCCAAGGAGGTAGATCAGCGCTGAAGACCGAAACATCCTCCTGAAGCTCAATACTGTGAAGATCTGCGACGACTGCGGGCAGCAGACAAACTCTGGATCCAACTACGAGATTTCCTTCACTCCCGGCCGCTGAAGCTCCCTGATGCATGCAACAAACTGTTGACAGAACATCCCAGGCGAATCTGATTGGAACGTCAGGGGTGGCAAGACCAAATGCGCAAACCAGAGCTTGCATGCCTTGCCATGACCAGGCGACAGTAAGCTTCCGCTCGCGAGAGATCATTCAGGTCAAGCACGAGAATGCACCTGATAACAAACAGCGTGAGTTGCCTCTGTCACCGCCCACTGAGCTCGCTTCCGGCCGCGTCGCTCAACATTTTGCGACGTTTTGCCCCAAAGCTAGACTAGGATTGGCACAGGGCTTCGCGATGTTGACCTTCACGTCCGCACACGATCACCCGCTCCTCAATCTCAAGCTGGAATCTATGCTCTGTACTGAAACCTTGGAGCCTTCAGTCTCCGCATTATGTCTGTTGGGACCATACTGGAACGTTGGACAATTTGACCGACTCTGCCATCTGCACATATCTCATGTCTGCGCGATGTTCGTTCTGTGCGCCCTGCGGAGCTGTCTCAAGGCAGCCAACTCCGGATGGCGATAAGGACTTCCAATCTTGGACTCGGAATATGTTGAACTCATGCAACAGCAGATTTAAGATTGTTGTGCAGGAACACCAGGAACTGTGTTATGTGAACACGAGCATGATTGTGCCTCGTGCAGGATATAAAAAGTTTACGCGACTGCAATTCTCCATGCTGCATGCATGTTGGCCCTGTAGTTCTTGTATCGACCGGGTTCATGGTGATGGTTGCTGCATCGTGCGACTGCTTCGGCTGCTTCAACTCTTCCGGCCCTTTCATTCCTTGCTGCTTGCTGCTTCAAGCTCGCAGTCCCGTATCGTGGGGTCGATGGAAGCGGAGGAATGCAATGAAGGCTCGAGAGCCGCCCAGGAACCCGTTGAGAGGCCCGCAGGGTCTAGTACCGACTCTTGCCATTCGGACGGGTAGTTCTGAATCAGGGTGGCACAGCGGTGCTCAAACAGTTGTGAAACGCGAACTGTGTCCAAATCGGATCATCCCCCGACAAAGCTTGAAAAGAAGTGAATGCAGGAAGCGATGACTTTCCTGTGACTGCATCAGACTTGCAGCTGCAAGTGTCCTCGTGCAGCTGCAGGGCAGCCAACTTTGGTAACAGCTCTGCGTTGACCCCGGCAGCCTCTTCCAAAAACCTGCTGCCAAAACTTCCAGCTGGACTTGGGTGCGAATGAGACAAGCAGCTGCTCAGAAGTCTCCAAAGCTCAGTTCTGGCCTAAAAAGCTTGGTTCGAGTCTGCGTCATGCGGTGTGCCCCGGGCAAGGAGAGCTCCTGAACAGCTGGGGTCGAACTGCGCGCGCAAGACACGAGAACGGACGAGCAACAGTACGCAGCTGATTGCAACTGACTGTGCCTCCTCGACCTTTGCAACGTATGCCAAGCCAAGCTTGGCACAGTGCCTCGGCTCAGCCTGCGACGACCGCGAGATGTCCCTTGAACTCACATCCGTCTGTGCGTTCGCTTCTGGGGTTTTCGTCATCTGGTCCCAACCAGAGCACGATCGAAGTACTCAAAATACTTGCGTGTGAGATTCCTGCAATTACCTGCACGTCCACAAGTCAAGCTGGGATGCTCCAGAACTGTTTGGCGTATCCGGAGCAAAAAACTGTCTGATTCAACTTCCTCTCTGGAGGTGTCCCATCACATATGCAGCTGTGGTGCTTGTGTTGTTTGTGCGTTCTGTTGAGATTATCCCCCAACATGTTCTCCGAATGTGGAGGAAATCCAGTGATGGTGGCATCGACGAAGAACCCAGAAAAAGCAAAAAAAGATGTGATCCGAATTGGGCCCAAAGGAAGGGCTCTGTAATGCTTTGTATCAAAACTAGAGAGTTCGCAAGCATACGGACTGCCTCTGGAAGAGTGCTGCGAAAATGGTCTCGCAAAAGCAAAAGAACAGAATCCGGTAAATCAAGAGGTGTCACTGTGGTGCTAAACGCTGTATTTCGAGTATCCAACACGGTGGAGTATTGGAGCTTGAAAGAGGAACCATCAAGAGTAGTTGCAGACCAGGTCCGCGCAGCTGAGGCTTCATGTTTCCACAATCGTCGAAAACAGCGTTTGGACAGGCTTCGTCTGTCGCCACACATCGTAAAAACCATCCATCATAATCTCAGAGCTAGATCTCGTGGCTCAAACGGTCCAGTATCAAGTATGGTCTCTGATTGCCAGCGCCTAGGTTTCTGAAGACTCCTGGCTTCGGTTGCAGCCGTTATCAATCTCCTGACCTTCATTTGTAAAGCTCATGTGGGGCCTGTTTCTTCTCGACAAGGTTCTCAAGGAAGGACAGCACCAGGGAGTCGTGTCCTCAACTGCTGGTTCCGGAAGCGGGCATGTCGTCTTGGATTCCAGGCGAAAGAATGATCCTTCAAGGATGTCAAGGACTTCATCTGCTTCCAGCGGCATCTGCGCAACAGGAATCGAGAAGCGAGGGAACGACCCAGGAGATCAAGCATTCCAGAACCGCCTCTCGCTCTCGGCCAGTGGCCACAAAAACCTGGCAGTGCCAGTTTCGCATCGAAACTCTCAATGCTCTTGTGGCCGCCAGGACTCGCACGGGAAGAACCGCATCAGCATCTATGGACAGGAGCTGTGGCATATACCTTCGGATTCCCAACTAGTCCTGGTCCCAGGTACGCTCCATTGCTCAGTTTCCCTCTCGACCTACCCGCAGTCCCCACCCCACTGTGTGGAGAGCGCACTCACGGAGTAGTTCAGCTCCATTAGGCGCTCGCCGCGCACTCCTTCAAGCAACAGAAACATGAGACCGAACGTGGGTCTGGATCGCCACGTGTACCCACATATTGTCCGACAGTCTTCCAGACCCCGAATCGCCTCAGGGCCTCTACCATCTGCGTGATTATGGCAGCATCTGCACGAGAGTCCCTCCTGAAAGGCCACCGAGATACAGCCACACAAGATCGCGATGGCAGGTGCTTCATGTGCTGGCTGCTGCCCGTACACAACTGTCCTCCCACTAGTCAACATGGCGCTTGACTCGCGCAGAACGAGGTCATACATCGAATGCGCCTGACAACATGGAAGTCCAAGAGTCTATCCGATCTATCCTTCACGATGTTTGGATCCGACCGCATGTACAAGAAGGGAGAGGATCTAGGAATGACGTACAAACGAGCTGGCTGGACCTTCCACAAACGGGCAAGCACATCCTCGCTGATTCACACCAGAGGCAAATGGCATTCATATTTCGCACATTGAACTGCACACTGCTGCCAGCACGATACCTGCATTTAGACAAGTTGCCAGTCTGCCACGCTCTCTCAGGAAGCCTGGCTACCAAGGCGGAAAAGGTTCTTCTGTACATAGTGCTCAACACCTTGCTTGTGATTGGTTAACTAAACTAACTCTGCCGAGCAGGTCGACGCAATGATGGGACAATCATGCGGTCGCCAGCCACCACGATGTGGGGCATCACCCGACCAGAGTGTCTGAAACTTGTTTCTGATTCGTTCATCGTTTATGGAAACTCGGCAAAACGGCATCTCAGAGCTGTGCAAACAAGTCTTCGTTGAAATCTATAACAGCAGCCCTCAAAACCTGCTAGTATCTCGGGCCCGGGGCTTGCAAAGTCATTTTGCCAATTTTTAATGGCTCTGAAAACTCATGTCATGTCAGTCCAGGGTGCTTGCAAGGCGTTTCAGCGCGGTTTAAACCATTTCCCTAACAATCCTTCAACATGCTCAAAGAGCCTGCAGGCGGTCTTTCAGGGCGTTGACCCACCCGCACACAACAATTGACCTGAACCGCGAAACTAAAACAATGGCGGGCCACCAGGGTATACGCAATGGTGCAACGGCGAACCCATTTCCGAACTATGAACTTCTTTCCTTGGGAATCTACCTTCAAAAAATGAGCCCCATCTTACTTCCCCACCAACAATTTTCAAGCCCGAAAATCAGAAGCCTGAAAGACCTTAAAAAGCCTAAGCAGACACTCAAGTCACAATGTCAAAAGCGAGTCTTGCATGGGACTCGAAAGAGGGGGGGAGTGTGGCGGGGGGGAGGGATGTATTCAATGAAACACCAGGTATAACAGAAAGTGAAACTATGAGAACACCACAAGAAGCAGTTAAGGAACAGATGCAAGAAGAAGAAGCCCAAACAGCAGTACAAGAACAAGATACGAAGAGAAAGAACTCAAAAGATGTCAACAATGCAAAGGGCTTGTGACGCTATACGTGCTGCAAACTTGAGGACGCCGACGCACTAACAGCAAAGGGCTGCATCGTAGCACGCTCAAACCAAGCCACAACAGCCCTCCTGCCTTCACAATCCTCGACCTTGCATCTAACACCGCACTCCAAGACTTCGGTCAAGCGAACATCGTCCTGTTCAGGATGGAAGGCTGCAAGCAGCATGGCAGGCCAGCTGACAGCTGTCCTCGTCCGTTTCCAGAAGCAACTTCAACAACCTCAGCGATTGCGATTGTCCATGCGACGATGCATGGTCTTCGTGGATCTGGGGCAGGCGAGCTGCCCCATGCACTCAGGCTGAGGCAGCGTGTCCATCGCACGCAGCAATGATGCAGGAGATGTGGCGCCCTGACTGTGAGAGCCGCTTACCGCGAACCCCTTAAAGCATCCTCGAAGTACACACGCGAAGCCACAGCGTAGCACCTGTGTTCTGTGCTCTTGCGGAAGACGTTCCTTCAATGATGATAGAGAAGCTACATGCCCAGGCGAACGGGAACTCCAAAACAGAGACCCTCATGAAAGCAACCTGCCTGTCCCAGAATAGCTTCCCGTTGTTTCAGCAAAAAGGACACAGCAGCCTCGGAGAAAACCGTCACACGCTGACTCAGGCTGTCCAGAATGCCGCAACAGCACCTTGAACAATCGCTCTTGTTTTCAGTTCCTGCAACATGTTCGCGAATTGGTTGTTGGATGAGACGACCAGAAGTTGAGAGTGGTGCGACGGCGTGACGCGAGGCTTAACATGCTGATCCCAAGTTCTGTGTCACAGCACTCTTCCAGCTTATGCTGGAAGCAGGCGGTCTCCACAGAATCCCGTGGAAGCGACTCGCCTGCGAAGACACTGTAGATGAACAAGGCACACACCACTTCGGGTGTGTGTCAAAGAGCTGACCATGATTTTGAAGTCCTGATCGGTAATGCCCACCAAAATTAAAAGCGTTGTCTACTACATTTTCTTGTGCGGACTACAAGAACCATGGCAGAGCCGATGATGTCCTGAATATCAGGATGTGAGGGTCGCTTTATCGTTGGATATGCCAGGTGAGAGCGCCCCTGTCCAGACACATCGCTTATGTGCAAAGATCCGGGTGCCCCGGTGGATGGTGGATATGGCAGCTATGTGCAACTTTCCTTTCGACCAGAGGCAAGGTTCGGAGCTTTGATGAAAAGGGTTGTGGAGTGTTGCAGACTGATCACAAAGCCTCGAACCCTAATTAGTGTCGCTTCCTGTTCACCTAGTGCTGCTGAAGGGATTGAACACAACTGAACACCCCCCACTACCTAGCTATACACTTGGACTCATTTGCCACCCTAAACAAAACAGGACGCAACAATATCTGAAGCCTCTTTAGTTGCGAGCGAAGGCGTGTGCAAGCAGGCTGAAAAGGCTGGATGGACAGTATGTGCCATGGCTGTAAATGTTATCACCGCTTGCACACGGCATCTATCTGGCTTCAATTGTGCCAGTTCTACTGCTGCCCTGTGATACAATGGACGAAAATTGCCGACCTTCGTCGATGACAATGATTCGACAATGATTCAACGCATTTTCAAAGCAGGAGATGAAGCACCGCCTCCTTGGACGGACACCCTTCTCACGGGCTTACTCCAGGTCCTGACAACATGCGTGAACTGCACCGGCCACCTACCCGCAACGCTGCGCGCAGCTCCTCCTGAACCCTTCATCATGGCCATGAACTCCTCAAAGTCTATGATGCCATCGCCATTACCTTTGAGTGACATGGTAGTGAAGCTTTGCCATTTGCTGTTTGGCTGACTGCGTGAAATAATGGAACGTCGGAGTTTGGGCTTCCCCTTCACCAGCAGCACCAGCAATGCCGAGCAGCTATCGACCTCCATCATCAATTCAGCAATGGCTTTGGCGCCCAAAGCATCTTCCACTTCGCTGTTGCTAAGCACCTGCAGAAACAGCAGGTCTCAAGTCCCTCAAAGAAACGACTCGTGCCGTTTCTACAGAGTTGCGGACGTCGGAATGCGCCATGCCCGGCGAATAACCAGGCTCGATTTGCGAACAAATCAAACCCATTGTAGCCCGTTCCATCAAAACGACGTACTCTCAAGTTGGGAAGCAGTGCACAGATCCCTCGACAAGACAGAGCCGCACAGTGCATCGGTGGATAGCAACGCCACAACGCATGACATAACTCAGAGGAGATTAGGCCGTGCCTGCTTAAGCTCGTCCTTGGAGATATGTCCATCTCCATTTCGGTCGAACACGCGGAAGGCTGCCCAGCACACATCCTCCTTCATATATTGTTGCCTGGCAACGAGTTCTGTAGAGCTAGAACAAAGCAGGATGTGGTGTGACCTTCACAGGCGTGCCTGTCGAGCGTTGCTGCTAGGAACTCAGTATAGTCAATGACTCCACTTCCATCAGCATCAACACCTTGGGCGAGCGAACTGAAAGGCAATGGACAGGATAAGAGAAAGGACTGTAACTGCAAGAGATATTGCAGTTGAGCGACCATCCAGAATGGCTGCAAGGTCTGGAGGTATGTCTTTGAGGCCAGATTTTCCCAGTCCATCCTTCAGCTCCGCATGCCTTGGCTCACACTGAGTTTTACGCTTTGCCAGGTCGCAAAGCAGCAACTCGCCAAGCCACGTCAGCAGGCCATCGCCGTTCTTGTCCAAGCTTGTGAAAACTTCTCGCAGGCTCTTGATCTGGTCCTGCCCACGCTTTGCTTGTCAACTGGCATCCTCGGGACACTTGCACGAGGCAGCCATAAGCAGCCCACCTCATTGAGCTGACCAGCGATGATGTGCAAAGCTGCCTGACAAGACTTGACAGCAAAACAGCGCCCGGCACAGAATCAAGCCCACAGCCAGTGCCGCAACCACGGTGCCGAACACAAACAAGCCCAAACCAAACCAAATCACACCAACCACGACAATCGCACCCGCAAACCCCAAACTGCCACCCGCAGCCACCACCTCTTTCAAAGCTTCATGAGAGGGTACTTGCCCAATAGGACACCCTGTGACCTTAAAAATAGAAGCATCTGGAAACATCGTGCACATGGCTGCACCTTCTTGAGCTTGTTCTGCGACTGGAACCCTCGCAAGTTGTCAACGAAGTTTGAACGCAGCGGCCTCCAGTTTGATCCGAATTGCTTGCCATCTTACAGTCTTAGTAATTATTGTGCCGAAGGGGGGGGAAAGAGGTTTATCATGCTCCGTGAAACCTCTGACTCTAACCTGTACACTGCACAGCAACGTATGTATCGGAATTGTCTTTACGTTGCGAAGATACAGATGCGCACAGGCCCGTGCGCCCATGCACCAGCTTGCAAAGGTGTGTTCAACGAAGTTCAATCATGTTCATGACCCAATCCGCTCAACCCAGCTTCGCGCACTGAGGCATGAGCACTGCTTGTGCTCGCGGCGCTTTGTTCTTGATCCACTCATGGTTCAGAGCTTGCCTTAGGTGGCATGGTCTTGGCACCATGAAAACTAAGTTGAAACCCCAGCAGCTCGCATGTCGCTCACGACTGAAGACCTCAAAACTTGCCTTGAAAGTACATGGCGCTCGTCAGAAGTTTTAAAAACTCAGAGCCGAATTACCTTCCGGTCTACCGTCCAGTCAGCCTTTCGCCACATGCATCGAAACACACGTCAAAGGCTGGCTTTGGAAGAGAAAGCACGAAACGGCCGCATTTGCCGTGGGGTGTGCTAGACGAATTCTCTTCGGAGTGCTCCAGAAGTCGGCACTAGAAAACACGCGCTTTTGATCGACAAGGTGAAGGCTGGGCCCAGTGAAGCATGGTCCGCAAGCTGAACTCGCGCCCCCCCCCTCCCCCCCACCATGGTAGGAACACTGATTACTCAGGCACAAGGGCCCCCTCCCGCCCCTCCTGTGTGACTTTAAATCCCTGAGATGTCCGGCAAAAGGTTCCCAGTCGTTGTTGCTCCAAGACAAGGTTGTATACTAACACACCTGCGAGCTCCTAGGAGCTAGCTTCGTGACAATGTAACAGGAGCATGATTTCGACTACCCCGAGTTCCAAGCCCAAGACCTTCATGACCTTCCAAACACAGATGCGAAGAGTACAATGAAACGGAATGTAGGAATGCATGGCCAACTGTGCCGTGGAGCGATTGTGTTTTGGCACATGCGACGCAACAATAGACACGGCACCACAGCCAGAGCCACGGAACCGGCCACGCGCACCACGTCGTCATGGTGCCAGCAAGCCTATACAAACCGCAAGCACCATCATTCCCACGAGCCTCAAGATTCTGAAGTTTGCCGGTGTTTGCCCTAGTCCCACGGAAGCCGATACCCACCGCAGCCTAAGTCGTGAAGGGTCAACTTGCAAGCCCTGAAGCCCTAAGCAGGCGTTGGGCACATCGAACGAAAGTTGAGGTCGGACCGACGGCAACGACATTTCTCGATTTGTTGCTTGCGGCTGTTCCCCTCACTGCTTTGAACACACGTTCCGGTAGTTTAAAGTACACGCGCACAAACAGCCATGAACTTGAACCATACGAGATCATGCAACCTTTGATGAGTATTGATGGGAACTGCCTGGAACACGAACTAGGTATCGACATGAGGCATGATGCCAGGCCTTTTGGGAAGGCTGCCAAGTTGCTCAGCTGTATATCGGTCACGAGGATTCATCTTTAGCATCCACCGGATCAGGTTTTTCGCATCATCAGACCTTGGTGGTGTGAAACCTTCAGGCCTCCAAGACATCCGCTGCTCACGGATATCTCACAGGTTCTGAGACTCTAGCACGTTTTTCCAGTCTGCTGGGTTGAAGTTGAAGTTGCCAAGTCGCACCTACACATGTGCTGCATCTGTGTACAGTACTTCACATCGGATGCATTGACCGGGAGCCTTCGCCAGTACGTCTGCGTCTGTGTCTCCGAAGAACGGAGGATATCCACAGAGCAGCACCTCTGCTTCAGATGCAGCACTACCGGGATGCCGAGGGCAATCAGCAATCGCACGCCACAGGCACATACATGATCACACCGCAGCTCCAAATGTCGCACTGCTGATCGTACTTGCCAGCTAAGACCTCGCCGGTTGCAAGAAACAACATCCAACAGAATCCAGCAAAATCATTTGCAGCAATGTCGACCTGCGGCGCCACATAGTACGGTGTCCCAGCTTTGGTGTTTAGAGCCTCGCCATTCAGACTTGAAGCACAGTTTACATGGAACACAGCTTCTTTGATCCAGACAGAGCTTGAAGTTTTTCGCACTTTCGCAAGTATTGCCGATGGCACCTGCTCTGGGCTGAACTTGCAGGAGAGTCCAAAGTCGATGATCTTGAGAAAGTTTTTCTCAATGGGATCCTGAACAAGTGCCACTCGTGCATGGAAGCATTGCGGTAGCACATCGGGTAGCAAGCATTCCTTGGTCATGAAAAGAAAGTTCTCTGGCTTGAGATCACGGTGGCAAATGTGGTTCTCGTGCATGTAGTAGATCGCACCTACCAAGGTCACCATGTAGCAACACTGAAATTGTCACCAAAGCTACGGAGTAGTAGCGCTCAGGGCGTTTGTGCAAGTGTACTGCCAGGAAGTCGGATCTGCGATCAGTCAAACTCAGTCCGTGGCGGATGATCTGCTGCATTAGTATGGCCGCTTGGACCTGGCTTGGCTCGCTTCACGTGCAAAGTGCAATGCAATGCAGTTCAGTTGCAGTGCAGCACTTCTTGTGGCCTCGGAGAAATGGCCAGATTCAATGATGCGATCAAAGAGCTCGCCCCCGGCACAGAGTTCCATGACGAGGTAGATGTTCCTGTCGGGCTCTCGCGTCTTCTTCTCTCTGTTTCTTGTCTGTCTCTTTCTCTTGATCGTTCTCCGTGTTTCTTAGGTTTAAAAATTCGCAGCCACACCACGCCAGGGACACGCGAAGCTTTTGTGTTGCAATGTCGAAGATTGTCGAAGTCAAGTCCCTCTCTTGTTTATTGATGCAATGTCTAAAACTCGTACCCTAAAACTCCAGACACGTGTAGCGACGGCCTAATATCCTCGAAGGACTCGTAGAGCTTGATGATGTTGGGATGGTCCATCATCTTCATGATGGCAATTTCCTGGCATTACTCGACTTCTTCGTCATCCATGCGCTCCTGTTGCCACATGGTCACACGATCGCAGTGCCTGCTTGAAGCGCTCAATGTTCTTCATTTGGGTCTTGGAAATCGTCTTGACCGCTCGGATTGCCTGACGGGTTTATCTCCGCATTACCTTTGCCGAGGGTTGTCGGGGATCCCACCTTGGTGGAGATGTTGGTAGCCTTTGTGACTGAGCCATAGGAACCCTCTCCTAGCTTCTTCTTGTCCTTTCAGGCAGGGCGCATCTCAAGAGATGGTATACGCGACAGAAACAACAGCTACCGGACCATCTGATAATGCTCTGTGATCTTGCCCGTGTTCTCGATGATGAACTGCGCGTAACCGATGCCGCCATCCTGTTTTACTACTGGTATCTACAATGTAAGTGGCATCAAGGCACCAGATAAGCAGTGGGCACTGAAAACAACAGCCTGCTTCAAACACATGCACACACACACACACCGCTTCCTTAACTTCCTTCTTGATGGCGCTGGAGTCTCTACTTTTCTTTGACGGCGGGTTTTGTTCGGCAGCTTGTGCTTTCCCTGCAGCCAGGGGCATTTGAGCTGTAGCAAGGAGTTAGTCACAAAAAAGACAGGATTCGCAAGGCTGTCACTGATTCCATGTCTGTGACTCTCAACAACACTGCTGACAAGAGTGTGCCTCCGCAAAGACCCATGCTTGCCACCTAATCCCAACTAGTCCACCCCGCGGTTCTTGGCGAGATGGCTGCGGAAACTGGGGCATTGCCATAACATTAACACAAGATCAATCAGTACTACCAAATCATCTCTCGCGCTTGGTGAATTTGGAAAGCCTCTCGGAGCGCTACAGCCACAGATTGGTCACTTCCCTTCCGCTCGAGACCCTGGCCGCGTTTGCCAAACCAACGTTGGCAGACACTGCGGACTCACCGACCTACCAGGACTTCAGCAAAGGTTGAAAGTTAAAGCAGCACTTCTTTGCCTACGATGCCTGCAGTGGCCTGTGGCCTAATGTGGAGCCATGTGGGGCCCTGTTTGGCCATGTGTGGCCTCCGGCGGCTGTCGCTCTCCAAGTCTGCTGCGGACAAAGTCCATGATGTCGACGGGCCTTGCTGTGTGCGCTTGCATTCGCTCGCTATCTTCAGGCCATGCATCTGAGGGCACAAACTCCGGAGAGCCATCATCGTCGTGTCTGGCAGAAAATAAGAATGCCAAACTAGACAAACAAGAATCGTTTTGCCAAGCGCGATCATGCGAGTTCATAGGAATATCCACCGGCATTGCACCAGCTTTCAGTACAGTACAGCCACCCTTCAGTCGACAAGATGCACCAATGTTCCCACACCAAGCTTTTGAGTCTTTTGAAGCCCTTCTGAAAACTGCAGTCTGACTTGGCTTCAGACGGCGCTCGCATGTGAAAGTTTCATCTTTCCACGACGACACACATGCCAGAGGTGAGTCTAGGAATATGGAGTCGCCCCCCGGTATGTCATGCTTATTTCTGTTTAACGTCCGTGCAGCTTAGCTGCAGCACAGCAAAACTGTTTTGCCTGGGCCGGGGGACGCTGTGTGAGTCGCAAGCTAAGGTCGCTGTTCCAATTTGCAGGGCACTATAGGGGCTGGGTTGAAGGATTTCGGCTACACAACACAAGCAGGTTTTGAGGAGCGGTACATGAGATGGCATCAGAAACTCAACTGTGGTATGAGTATGGCATGATGTGATTCGTATAATCCGTCATGGCAGATAGCATTCCATGGCCACTATGGCCTTGAAGGAGCCTCCCATCCTTTTGGCAGGTGGCGGCCTTAAGTGGCATGCACTTGCAGAACCGACTTGCGGACCAGCTTTCGGTCTCGGTTGAGAGCCCCAAAACATCAACACCTGGTCGACCCGGAAGTCCACACAGTACCTCGTGTTGGGGGATCTTGAAGTCCACATCTCACGCTGAAACTGAAGTGATGTGGGCACATGAAGTGCTCGAACGCCTGCAGGAACTGAAGATCCCTGAACAGCGCCTCGGCAAAAGTTACGGCGCTGGAAAATGTGTTGGAGGAGCATGCTGGCGGCATGCTGAGGCGAGCACCCAACCTGCCAGTGATTGAAAGCGCCGCAGCTGCAGTTGTCTCTCTGGATCCTCCGGACCTTCACTGCTGGGGTTCGGGTCTTGCAACCTACTTTAGGGGTGCAGCTGCTTGCCACAAGCTGTCACAAGCAGTGCTCTGTGGCAATTGGTGCGGCACCAAATGTCGCGGTGATGAGATCCCTCGCATCATTGATGCGGACCTCAGGATCACGAGCCACTCCTGGACAGCATGGCAATGGAAAGCTGCGGCGAAGTCCTGTCATGAAAGAGCTGGGAACTTGGCTTGCAAGAGGAGCTTCTTGACCTGTCGATAAAGTTCTACCATCTGCATTTAGACAGAGAAGGAGGCAAACAAAGAGAGAGAGAGAGAGAGACAGAGAGAGAGAGAGAGAGCGGCAAGCTTTGGGGACTTGGAGATGTTCTGCCCGCCGCCACGCCTGCTTTTCAAACGGAATGGGGGTCAAACAGGTCACTGATGTCTCAGCGGCGATCAAGGCCCTCCCTTCACCTCAGCTGCACTGAAATTCCCTTCTGCTCAGCTCACAACCTGGTACAATCTCGCACACTACTGTAGACTCCGAGCTGCGCACACGCTTGACAAACGGACACCGTCACGCCCTTGGAAACGCAAAAAATCGTGCGAGCCGTCACAAGCATCCTCTCATGTGAAGTGCCTACCGGATTCACTCCCACGATCATGTTGTTGAACTTGTGGGGGCCGGACTGGGATCGAAAGCTAGTGCAGTGTGCCGGTTTATGCCGGTTCAGAGGCTTCAGGAGAACGGGGTGAGAAGACAACCCCGCAAGTGAACTTTTTCGCGAGGCGCGGCCGTGCTCCGAGCTAGGCGCAAGGAAACATGGACATGCAGGCATAAAGAGGGAATCATCAACCCGGGAGCCCACAGAGATGCATCAGAAGCATGGTTTGGCACAGCCCTTGGAGATGCATCAGATGTCAGAGCCTTATCCCACCCACGAATTGCTTGAGTGCAGCCCTTCGAGATGTATTGCTCACCCGTGCATGGTTTGGATGCTGCTTTTGTTATCTTTTTGTTGATGCTGAGCCTTCGGGGCGCTTAGCCTGAGCGCCCCGAGAGCCCATGCGGACAATGCACCTTGGAGACCTCTAAAATCTCTAAACACCTGGCTTCGACACCGAAACCAGCTAAGGGACGGCCCGAATTTGCAGCACCCTGAGCTGGATCCCCCACACCCCTGTTGTTCAACCTTACGGTTGAAGGGTTAGCTTTCGTGATCTGCAAACGGGCATGTGTGCCAGTCGGTTCAGTGGTTTTGAGACAGGGGTTGTGCCGATGGTTGGTTGGTTCTGTGAAGGCGAATGGATGTGAACGGCTCGAGTTGTTTCCTTGTGCACCTTGTTCCCTGGAGTCTTCATCGAGCAACACTAGAAGGCGGGAACCAACCACACTGAATGTCACCAGAGAAGGCCGATGATATGAGATGATATGAGTCTGCATCTTTCTGAGTCGAGAGCATCCAATGTCAGAGTCTGACCTAGGGCGACGCGGCGACACAAGCCCTGCTCAACACCAGCAGCCCAGCAATGCAGTGGCATCTTGAACCGCACAGAACTAAAAACACTACTGGGTGCACGCCCTAAGGCGACCCACGCGGGCAAAAGGCGACTCACCCCAAGTAGACGCCCCTGAATGCAAAAGGCAACCCATGCGTGCAAAAGGCGACCCACAGAAAGCTAATCCCCAGGGAGACGCCCTTGCCAGGCTACTTTTTGCAACATAGCAACAAACAAGCAAAATGCACGCGAGACCGAGCGCAGAGTACCGATTCCAAAGGATTTCGGACGACGATGCACCCTGAAACCCCAATGTGACGCCTTACCACACTACTTGCGCAACATAGCGAAACACAAAGGGATGAGTGTGTCCGTTCCCGACCAAACAGTACGACGCAAACGGTTTATGATATTAAAAGTCCATTGAACCGGAACCCCGCAAACCTTGCGCGAATTTAAAGGGTGTGGGGATCAGTGTCAGAACTATAGACTTTCATGCGGTAGATTGAGCACTGGGCCTATGGTAGGTTACGGAGTTCGGCTTCCGGGTTTTGCAGCTACCGTGAGACATCCGCCACACATGCTGGACAACTGCCTTGTGACACCTACGCGACCCCAAAAGATAACTAGATTAAGGAATGTGCCGGAACAGAAAACTGCAAGAGGACGCCCTGGCGAGACGCCCACGTGTCATGAAGACAACTGCGCCATACTAGAAAACTGCAGTGTGACGCCCTGATGAGACGCCTTTTGCCTGCGCGAGACGCCTTAGGTCAACCACCCAGTAAAAACTGACCCATCGCTTGTGAACGAGATGCAATTCTTTTGATCTTGGATGCCGTAAATGTCCAGTTGGCCCAGGCCAGAGCTGCCAAACACCTCGTGCAAATGTGCGATTCTTGGGGCATGTCCTCTGGAAGCTGGGGATGCTGCTTACATCGAGCGTATCATTGACAAGAGCGTGCTTCTTCGTGCTTCTTCGGCAGGGCTGATTTTTTGCAATAACAGTGAATGAGGGCTCAGATAGGAGTCGCTTGTATTCATGCCGGGGACCGTAGCTTCGCCACCGCCCCCAACACGAAGAAAGGCAGATGGTTCCTAGATGATGTTAGAATGTTAGATGAATTGACCGCTGTGGGCGCCAAGGCCCGAGGCGATCTGGATCGCTCTGGACCGCGATGTCTTTGCATCCCTGTGCGTCAGCAGACATCAGCTTCCTGCTGAGGCGAGTGCACTTCATCTCATATCATCTCAAGATTGAACCGAAGATAATCTCAAACAGAAGAAACATACCACAAAGGGTGGCATCTGGCTCTGTGTGCTTCATCTTACAGCTCAGCTGAGGCTGCGGTGAGACCACCAGCCACGGAGTGCGTACCCTGTGTCTGGAAGATCTGGCCATCACTAGGGCCCAGCATCCCAAGGGGAAGCCTGGCGACTTGCTCGGCCCTCCCAAAAAATCCTCAAAAGGGACGGTCTGCGCCTCACGCCCTCGCCGTGACGGGAAACTCTGGCCTCCCGCCGTGCTTGAAGCAAGGTTGTGGATGTGCATTTTGACTAAACATTGGTACCGCAAACTCTCGAAGTCATCAACCCCACCCGCCCTAGACAGCATAAAGGTGCACAGCAAGATCGGGAGGGTCAAGTCTCATCTCGCTTTCTCTGGTCCAAGTTGCAGTGCCCACGTTTGGCGCAAGCGTGCCAATGCTTTCTCTGCAGGCTCCTGGCCCATATCCGCATATGGATGCATATGGGGCAACTACTGTACACACACACAAACAAACACACACACACACACACACACACACACACACACACACACACACACACACACACGAGTACGACACGCGTACTACACGAACACTACAAATACCATCAGGTGACCACTCCTTTGTCGTCTGCGTGAGAAAAAGGGATACCCTCTGCATAGCTGCATCGACGCATCGGGAGAACCTGGAAGGCTGGTGGATTCCACTAGCTGGTTATGGGACGACAAGAATAGCTCGGGAGGGCACTGAAGTACGGAGTACCTTTTGGTGCGCCACTCCTGCTGTCAGGCCGCCAACGCCACGCACACTTCGAAAGAAGTCAGTTGAAAACGGGGGCCTCATGCACAGCCACAACGGCGGATGTGGCAAGGAGAAGGAATGTCTCCGGCCTTAGAGCCAGTGCCAAATCGTCCCTATAGGCTTGACTGGAGCTGGCCTTCAATGTCGACCTGGATTCATCTGGGTTCCAGACTCGATAACTGTTAACTCTGCAAAGCGTCGATATTCAAATCCAGTACCTTGCTGCAATCCGAAAACAACATGTGGTGTTGCAACGGATCTCTGGGCTGCCCTGCAGACATCTTCCACCTTGACCTGCTCACAGAACCGGACATACTCTGCCATACTGTACTCCATACTCCATACTGCAGTCACTTCAGGCACTTTAGTCACTTTGTGAACTGACAGAGGCCAATTGCCATCCAACTGCCCAGCCACATGTCCGGCCTTGCGAGCACGTCGCAAGTCGAGCATTAGCCATCCGGCCCTGGCAGTGCAGGCTTGATATATGGCTGGCATGGCCTGATTCGTACTTGGGCGATGGCAATCTGAAGCACACATTGATCACAGCCTGCGCACTCAAATCATAGTGGCAAACCATCGAGCGCCGCCTGGACAAAACCTGTGCTGCCAAGGTGCTGCTGCGAAAGGATAAAACGCCCCTTCGTCTGTTTGCCTCACGTGCAGCCGGCCCATAGGCCCAAAGGGTATGGTGACTGTGATTCTTCCCGCATTTTCCTGCCATAACATGTGTACGGATTTCCTTTGCTGTCATGACACCCAGCTCCCGAACTTTCACGAATCAGCTGGCACACTCTCTTCCTTGGCAACAGTCGAATCGTCAGATCGACGCCGGGGCAAAGATATCTCAAACGGCTCGCACACCAAGGGCTCCGACGAGTCCAGCTCTGTCATGCGCAACCTTCAGCGCTGCAGGTGACAACCCACGACAACTCACGTGCTGAAATTCTGTTTGTACGGGTCGTCGTCAAAAGAAAATGGACGTGTCACTTGGGCCATTCATGCAGGATTCGACGACTGTCGAACGACGAAATGAAGACTGGAAGCCTTCTCTTAAGGGGTGCATTCCGAATTTTTCTGCGCACCCTGTCACGCAGCTGCTTGCCAGGGGCGTTCGCCGTTGGAATTGTGCGAAGCTGCCGCTTTAATCCGCCGATGCCCCAAGCCTCTGGTGCTTGGCGTCTGAGAGCAATGTTGGCCTGCCCACCCTGATCCCTCCGAAAACCCGCTACACAAAGGGACGGATTTAACAAGGGAACCCGTCGGCTTTCTTGGCATGGTTTTCAAAGGTTCAAGGGACCCGGGGGATCTTTTTTTGAAAATGTAAGGGACCGCATGCTGGCAGTGACCAGCATGTTGCGCAATTTGCAAAGGTGGATATTCTGGGAGTAGGCTGAGGAAGACGAGTCATCAGGCCGTGCCAGCTAGGGTGCAAAGGCCAAGGCGGCACATGCCGTACTCTTGAAAATTAACTATCATGAGTCCGGTGGTGCACACATGCGAGCAAGAGATTATTCATGAAGCAGCGTAGCTTTCCATATGAGCAGCCGAATGGATGAGCATCATGTTGCTGAGGTTCTGCGTCGTTGGAAGACTATAGTAATGGGCAGAATATTCTTCATTCTCCCCGTCCCTACGTGACCCCGTCCCTAACCAGATCTAGTTAAGCCTGGTTTTACTTCAGGCACTGTGACGGACGATGCTCAAAGAGATAAGGGACGGTCTAACGCTTGACGAGCATGGAAGAAGGCCACTCCATGGTCGGTGCGGGTTGATCACGAAGATGGAGCAAGCTGCTGGAGGGACTTGCATGCTCCGACATCCATCACCATGCTGGCAGATGTTCGGGCAGCCCCATGCAGAGGCAAAAGCACCACATTCACTACATGCTGGTGTACCCCCCTCACGTGAGATCGGCCACATCAGAGAAAACTCGGTGGAGAGTTGTTTCCTCTTGCCCCTGTAGCGAAACCTGTGCAGAAACAGCTTGTGCCTGCACAAGGCCATGATTCGGCAGCAGAAGTGCAAAGATCACACAGGCGCAAAGTGCGCTTGCCGCGTCGTGCTTCAGAGCATACTAGGCTGGCATCTTGGAGATGGGGCGAGAAGGAGCCGTGCAAGGGCAGCAGCCTACCTCATGCAAGTCGAACCTGCACGCGACGGCCGTGAATGCGGATGCTGGTCCGTTGAGGCTGGGCAACCGGCAAGCATTTCAGAGAAAGAAGCCCACCGCCTCGGAAGTCGGTTCGTGGGTCCTGCATGTCAGATCACCAGTTCTTTGTGAGTGCCTTTCGTTCGACACGCCACCACGAGCAGTCCTCGTCCTGAAAGCCCAATTCCTTCCATCTGTGGTCCCGTCGCCCTTATGTGAAAGCTGATCACAGTGATCACTGCGTCGCCTCCTACGTCACGAGATCTGCCAAGCCCCACCTTCTGGAACTTTCTCGATCTTGGTGCGGTTTTTTTCCAGCGGGGAGAGCGCAGGAGCAGCTGCCTGCAGGCCACGAGTCACATGCAGTGAAATGCAGTGAAAGGGGCAGAGTATGTCTCATGTGAAACATATGGCTGTGCCTTGAAGTATTCCTGGAGAAACGCCTGCGCAAAAACATAGAGCAGTTCGGCTTCTCAAGTCATGCTGGGGTGCTTTGTAGGCAGAGCGACAGTGAATGCGCCTCATGCTCCTGGGATGGTGCTTGCAGAAATTTGCAGCAAAGAAGCAGCTAGGGAGCATTCCAGCGAAAGCACAATGCAAAGCAAAGGCCAAAGGTAGTGAGCTGGACACTTGCAGACATAAAGATGCCAGGAGTCCCAGGCACCAGGCTCAAAGGGTACCAGCACCTACAGCGCCGCAACAGGTCGCAACTCTGCTTTTAAGACCAGAGACACTTTGCTCCAACACCTCCTGCTGGAGGTAGCCAATAATGATTTCCTCTCGAGGTCGCAGGCGATAGTCCTCCGCAAGTGGAATCGTGAGGCCCCTGCAAGTGCACAGTCCAAGGCTGTTTTCACATGGCAGTGTCCAGGTTGTTGGAAGGCTGCTCTGAGCAGCACGCTCCCAGCCAATCCTTGACCAGACAAGATCAGCTGAACCATTGTGGGCACACTTCCATTCATTGCCAAGAAGCAAATATGGACAACTCGGGCTTCGGAGGTTCAATAGCCGTGTAGGTATTGATGCTGTCCGCCCTTGACGAAGATCCCCTGAGTTGCAAGCAGAATGCAAGCAGCTGAAGTGTCCCCCTTCTGTCAGTTTAGGAGCATAGCGGGTATTGCGGCTAAGAAACAAGAAAGGGACCATGGCCCAGCAAGAAGCGCTCTCGGCTAGGGCCAGTCGCTCTATCCACCAACAAACAGAACAAGGATTGAAGAACATGCCCTTTGATACTTTTCTTGTGTCAAGTGCTCTACTTTCCTGGAATGCCTGAATCAGACGTCGTGGTCTGACTGTGCAGCAGCCACGGAAGAAGCCAATGCAGGAGTCATGGAGATTCACGACAAAGATACGTACCAGACGGATGCAATCTTCTGCGGTCTTGTCCTGTTGCTTGAATTGTTGAGGCGGTATCTGAAGACCTCTCGAGCTGTCAAGGCTTAGCCTGGACTGTGAAGCCATGCAGTTGTTGCGGTCGGCGCAACAACAAGAACACTAAGAACACCATGATCTAGCATCTGGTGAGACTGTCCGCATATGACGACTGCTCTTTTGACATTGAACTTAATTGTCTGCTTATACTGCCTGGACAATCTTGCCGTTTTTAGGCTACACACCTTCAGCTCCTTCAGAGTGGCATGGCAATGAAATCCTGGTTC